CTTCGTTGAAGCGCTCTTCAACATCAGCAAACAATGCATCCAAATCATCATTGTGAATGAACGCGCCGTCGTTGTAATACTCGTCCACATTAAATGATAAGTTCTTCCTGCATTCGGGGCCGAAAATTAGATGCAACAAGTATTGTCTTGCACGTGCCGCAGATTCTTCTGAATCCCATTTTTCGTACATACAAGATTTACCGCGCACCATTATTCAAAATCCAAACTTCTCACAACCTTGGTAAACGCCTGTATACGTCTTCTTCGAATTTTGCGTAGATGCGGTATTATCGTCGATCTTAAACATCGAGTCAAAAAATGGGACGCGCACAAGTCTTTCGCTATCGATGAAATATCGCCGGTCGAACGGAAGCTTCTCTTTCGTATTCAATCCTTTATACTTTAAGACAGCGTATTGACGTGCCCAAGCGGCATGACGATCTGTAAGGAACCCGCCAACGCGTATTTTTCCTCCTTTTACCATCATCCTTACTGTGTATCGAGATCGTTCTACAATAATACCAGTAAGGTCTCTAATCGGTGCAATGTCAGGAATCGAAAAATGGATATCTCCATTTGCATCAATCCTTCCATCTGAAATATTTACAACAGTCACATCTTCTTCCACTCCGTCAACACAATTCGGTCCCGCATGGCGTGTTCCAGTAGTTGGCACTGAATCAGATGAGGCAACGTGAATACCTGAAGATGACATTTTCGCACTTCGTGGAATGTCACGCTCGTTATCACCCAACCCGAGTTCAGCGCTCGGCACGACCGTAGCTGGTGATACCAAGTTTTGTTTAATGTAGCTATCTCTGTCATTTGTCACATCATGTACAGTTTGTGTACTTGTTTCAATAGGAAATGAGGTGCCCCAAAGTTCGCATTTCTCACATTGCTCGAGAAGTGTGTAGTGGTTGTTTGATAACCAAAGATGAATTTGATTATTATTCGTTAGAAATTCAATTCCTTCGTATTGCACCGATTCACGGGAATGGAGCCAAATAATAACAGTCATGTTCAGTAACTCGCAAAAGGCTTTGATTTCGCAAACCGAACCCCAAACTGAAGGATGTTGAATATAATTGACATATTCATCCGCCGATGCTAGCGGAACATCATGACACATCGACACTATCATTTGGTATCTTGCCCAATTTGCATGTACATGATGAACGATTTTGTCATTTAATGGGCGCCAAAATGGTTATTGCGAGTGACAAGCACCGATATAAACATGCCCCATCCCCACGTACATTTCTTCTACGAAACACAAACCTTCTTCTTAACGCACCGTCAATTGAAGCCCCCGTAAAGAGTCTAGGTGCAGGAGTGCCCATCTCCAAATGTCACGAAGTGCTCCCTCAAATTCCCCGACGCCAATCCAAGTTCGCACGCTGAAAAACACAGAGACAAAGGAATTGACACATAAACCAAAATGGATGCACAATATATGTATATATTTTGACAAGATAGTACTAAATTTTAAAAAGAACAATGCTTAAACAAAATAGTAATTAATCCCATTATAATTAAGTCGCAATGAAACATGCTTGATTTATATTTTGAATGGCTAAATGTATGACCAACAAACAGAGAAGAAGGCACAAAGTACCAGCAATATTAACATTAAGAAATTAAAGCACAAAAGTACAAATGATTTTTTTTTGTTGAAAAATTCAGAACATTATGGACCTTGGATATTCAGCTTCAGGAAGATTCAAGCGCCCACAAAGAGTTTCAACACCAATCTGAGCTTAAACACAAAAGGAGACAAACTTGTTTAAAAAATGAGTTAACTAGAGAAAATAAAAAGCAAAAACAAAAGCATAAGAGAAACATATACACAAGTATATACACAAGCATATATTTATCTACCAGCTACACCACCAAATAACTTGCTCAAAATGAGAATTGATCCATGAAATAACAATACATTGTATATTTTAAAAAACAATGTAATAGCTTGAATGCTTACAGCCAACACTTCAGTAGACTCCCAGTTTCGGAAGGGATGATGCCGAATCTTGATTATGTTGCTGTAAGACAGTACACAAAACGTATAGTACATATGTATCAAATGTTAGAAACACATACATTTAAATTAGAAGTAGAAGCAAGCATTAAAAGGGTGAAAATATTTAACAGAATAGTTGTGATACAAATATGTTCTTAATGAATTCAGAACATTGGTGAACATAGTCAAACATCAAATTATGACCTTGGTATGCTGAACAATCTGACACAATTTCAATGCTGACGGTGTGGATCCGTTCTTGTTTTCCCTGCTGAGAAGAGTAACAGAATGAAGAACAACAGCACTTTTCATGAGACTTCAATTGAAAGACAAAGTAAAAATAAAAAGCGGGTAAATCAATACAATTAACAAACAAGCAATCGCAAAATCGTACCACAAAAACTTCAAATGGAGACTTTGAAATTCGGTGCAGCCTGAAGTGAAGATGCTGATGTAAACCAACTGTTGATGATTGATAAGATAAACACGTTCAGGAAATAACAAAAAACAGGGTGTTGGATTGTATGTTGGTATATGCAGGAACATAGAAGTCAACACATGAGGTTAATAAATACACACAAGAATTGAGCTCAACTTTCTTCTAGATAGATAAGCTAGGGTACATCATGAAAGGTGATGAGAAGTGGAGACTAGCAGGAAGAGTTTGAAATCGAATTGTTGAAATTTAGTAAAAAAAGCTAGAGTAGAAACTCATATCTTCACCAAACAGCCAAGCACGTGACTAAGAGAATAGAAGAATATCTCAACTCACTTAACGTGGGGCAATAGTAGATTAAGAAGTGTTAAATGATAGCTAATTAACTAGATACGTACCTTGAAGGTCTTGAATGTGTTGAGCTTGGTGTGAAGAAGAACAATAGAAGAAGCTAAAGGAAATCTTGAGTTTGGTGTGAGTAAGAGAAGGATGGAAAAGAAAGGGAGAAAGAGCTAGGTAATGCTTTGGGAAGGGAGAAGTGGAAGAGCCTTTCTTGATTGGACACAATGTTGACCAATGGTAAGGTAATTGCTACTGTGCACTAAGATAAAAAAGCAGTTGGAAGCATTGAGCTAGAAACAAAACAACCAATAGAACAATGTTGCTTTTCTTGTTTCTAGTTCATTGTCCATAATTAATTTGTTGACAAATTACAGTTGTACAACTGTTTTTTTTGTTTTCTACTTGAAAATCGTTTTCATTTGACAGTTACAACCAAAATATAGGACAAAAGCAGAGCAGACGAACGACAACTTTCAAGACAAAAAACAGAAACGTGAGCTGGCGTTTTACAGTTACAACAGCCACAATGAGCACTTACGACAAGAAGAACAACGTGAAACAGATGACCAAAGGTTCTGTTTCACGAAACCCCCGATTCTCCCCCCCCCCCCCCCCCCCGCCCCCTCCCCCTCCACATTTCACGCGCGAGATATTCTGCTGACGTTCTCCCCCCCTCCCCCCCCTCCACATTTCACGCGCGAGAAAAACAGCAGCGAATGCTCGATTTGATTTGGGGCGACGCTGCTGACGTCAGCAGATTTTTTCGCGCGAGATTTTATGTATGACGTCAGCAGCGACTTTCGAAATTTCGCGCAAATTTCGAAGCTGACGTCAGCAGCGAAGTTCGAAATTTCGCGCGATTTACCTAACGCTGATGACGTCACCGAAACGAAGCTGACGTCAGCACTTCGAAATTTGAAATAACGTTCAAATAATACATCAACAAACATTCTAGAACTGTAAACATAGAAATAAAACCTACAACTACTCATGTAAACGTTCTTATTGATGTAGAAAAAATCAAGTCTACAACGTATACCACGTAAATACTGAGGAAAAATTAAGAGCTTCAACTCAACATTCACATAAGAACATACCGGTAAAGAATGCACAGATATTCCTAATTTAAATATGACGATATGATCAACTTCATTCAAAAATCTTTTAGAAAGTTACACTTGTTGCTTCGCAACCCTAAGACGATTTCGTCGCCTCTTGTTTTTTTTTCCACGAAACTCTGCTGCTCACATGTGCTGCAGGCGTGGCAAGGACGCGAGGAAGGAGGGCATGTTGCCATGCAGCCCGTTGCGCTGGAAGGAGCTGATGAGAGCCAGTGAGGGCAGAGCGAGGGAGCAGCAAGGGGCAAAGCGGGACGAGTAATGGAAGGAGAGGAGGGCAGACATATGGGTGGGCGGAAGGGAAGTGAGCGGAATGAGATAATGAGCGAACCACTCATCTACAGTGATTTGTGCGTGTGGGGGGGAGCTGGTGGGCACATGGCATGTGGGCACATGGCATGTGGGCACATGGCATGTGGGCAGCAGAGGAGAAATCAGGAAGCAGGAAAGGAAGACCCATTATTTTGTAACACTTTGATTGGCCCAACCACTTATGAGGAGAGGTGGGAGGAAACGAACGATTGGACCAACCCAACTGGCACCAGCGCAACACACATGGAAATGGCAGCACTGTCCAGAGTGCGGATGTGAAATGACTGACAGGAAGGAGAGAGTAGTGAGAGAGGAGAAGGAGAGAGGGATGGATCCCGTGATGCTGTTGTTGTTGGCTCGCCTGCCATGCCGTGATGTGATGTGATGTGATGTGATGTGATGTGATGTGATGTGATGTGATGTGCCACACAACAACCATGCCATGCCATGCCATATGCCATGCCATTCCGTGCCATGCCGTGCGATGCGATGCAATGCAAGACTGGAATGAGATCAACTTGGAACCATAGCATAGAAGGCATGGCACCTATCACAGTATCACTCCGTTGCCGCACTCGCTTAGCAGCATAGCAGGTAGGAAAACGGAGTGAAGGCGACCAACATGTAGCTGAGAGGATTAGTGTAAAACAGTAAGACGTTAATCAGGTACAATAGAGACCTACAAGGAACTTCAAAAGGTGAGGTAGGTAAACGGATTGAAGGGATGAAAAAAATCAGAGTATGATAGGCAAGGAGAGTGAATGAGACATACATGGAGCGGAGAAGCCTCAGATTGCCCATTGTGGACGGCAGTGACCCTGAGATGCTGTTCTGCGAGAGGTCACTGCGATGGACCGATAGATAAGGGCAGCATACGGGGGACCACAGGGGAGAGAGAGAGTGAGATGGAAGAGGATGGCTCGAAGGAAACAGACGAAGGGAGAAGCTTTTACAAATCAAGGAGGCGTTTCTTGAAGGAAAGATCCTCTGGCAATTTTGAGAATCTCTTGGAAGCTGGCTTCATTTATGCATCAAGTAAGAAAGATCCTCTGACATTTTCCAGTGAGCTGCTGCGGTGCTAAACAAGCCAAACGAACCAACCTTCTTCTGAAGGTTGCTTTGCTCATGCAAACGCTCATTATGAGCAATGGATGAGTGCAGGAGGGAGAGGGGATTGGGAAGAGGGGGTGGGGGAAAGGACGAGCATAGAGAGGGGAGGAGGAGGAGGGTAGAAACGACAAGTGATGAAGCATTGGAGAGGAGAGCAATGAAGGTTTGCAATCAATAAGCAGGGAATGCGGAGAGAAGGAAGGCAGTTCTCACAAGCCTTCCAAGCTAGAGAGCCCCCCCATGGCTTGTGGCAGGCTGCCTGAAAGCCGGTTGAACTCCATGCTCCTGCCATGAGCAATGGGTGATGCGCAATAACTCCTCAACCCAACTCATTGGTGGGGGCAAATAATGTTGGCAAGGTTCCCAGCCATACCTCCATCCTAGCTCAACTATGTAAACCCACATACTTCCTAATCAAGCAATCGGTTCTTCTTCAATCTTTGTCACAATGATGAGTGGTGATGAGTGGTGATGAGTGGTGATGAGTGGTGATGAGTGGTGATGAGTGATGATGAGTGTTGATGAGTGATGATGAGTGACGGGCGATAAGCGATTGCAATGAGCAGTGTGTGCGCGACGAGCAATGCGCGCCACGCAACGTGCGTGCGACGAGCAATGTGCGTGCGACGAGCAACGTGCGTGCGACGAGCAACGTGCGTGCGACGAGCAATGTGCGTGCGACGAGCAATGTGCGTGCGACGAGCAATGCGCGCCACGCAATGGCCAATGATCACAACAACAGCGGCGCAACGCAACACAGCATAATGCGTGCAGATGTAGACGCCCAGGGGCACCACTGCACGCACGCACGCACACACGCACGCACTGGGCAGACAGCACAGCACAGCACAGAACAATGCACGAGGCAGCGACAAACTTACAGGAAGGCGAGGTTTTGGAGTTTGGAGATGGAGGCTGGAAGGGAGCCGGTGATGGTGTTGTGGTCCAGCCAGCTGGGGATGGCGGTGGGGGGTCGAGGATGGGGAGAAAGAGGAACGGGAAATGGGGCAGGCAGGAGATAGGGAGATGTACGTGTGGAGGATGGCAGGGAACCGGTAATGGTGTTGTTGTCTAGCCAGCTGGGGAGGGGTGAACAAAGATGATGGGGAAAGAAGGGTGGGAAAGAAGGGTGGGAAAGAAGGGTGGGAGGATGGCAGGGAACCGGTGATGGTGTCGTTGTCAAAACTAGAAACTCACAGGCCTTGCGTTTTGAGACACCTCAAAGCTCAAAACTAGAAACTCACAGGCCATCCAAGTTAGAGAGACCCCCGATGGCCTGGGGCAGACTGCCTGTGAGCCGGTTGACCTGCATGCTCCTGGAATGGGTGGAGAGTGGTGAAAAGGGAGTGGTGAGTGGTGAGAAGTGAGTGGTGAGTGGTGAGTGGTGAGAGGTGAAGAAGAGTGATGAGTGGTGAGTGGTGAGTAACAGAGCAGTGCAGCATAAAAACTGGTCTGAAGAAGGCTGAACGCATGTAAGGCCATGACAGAAAAGTAAGTTTCACGCATGGCAGGTAAGTGGTGTTTACACAAAGGTCATGACAAATAAGACTCACCACCACAATCCATATGTATATAGACACACCACGATTCATGCCGACACACCTCAACGCATGAGGCACGGCACAATGCATGAGGCACGGCACAATGCATGAGGCACGGCACAATGCATGAGGCACAGGCTCACAGTAAGAAGAGGTTTTGGAGTTTGGAGATGGAGGATGGAAGGGAGCCAGTGATGGTGTTGTTGTCTAGCCAGCTGGGGATGGCAGTGGGTGGGGGGATTGAAGAGGGAGGGAAGGAGGAAGGTAGGGGATAAGGAAAGAAGGGTGGGAGGATGGAAGGGAGCCGGTGATGGTGTTGTTGTCTAGCCAGCTGGGGTCGGCAACGGGGGGAGAATTGAGGATTGGGAGAAAGAGGACAGGAAAACGGGGCACGCGAGAGAGAGGGATTGAGACCGGTGGCAGGGTTTAGGGTTTAGTTTGGGGGACCGGTGGTAGGGTTTCGGGTTTAGGGTGATGGTGGTGTTGTCTAGCCAGCTGGGGTCGGCAGTGGGGGAATTGAGGGTGGGGAGAAAGAAGAGGATAGGGAAGACGGGAAGAACGCAGAGCCGTTCCCTGCCATCCTCCTCGCTACGACTAGACTAAGACCATTCGATTTTAGATGGAACAACAACTCACAGGTACATCAGAAACAACAGCAGCAGCAGCAGCAGCAGCAGGCCACTCCCATACCCTGAAGCAGTAGCAGCAGCAGTGTCCGCCACTTACACATAAGAGAGGTCTAGGAGGCGGCTGATGGTCGATGGGATGCTGCCAGAGAAGCGATTGTGAATGCCGTTGCTGCAGGTGGAGTGAGTGGGAGGGGGGGATCGAAGAGCGGGAGATGTGCGCCAACAGGGAGGGAATGCAACGAAGTGAAGGAAAAGTGCGTCAACCGGGAGGGAATGCAAACAATGGGGGGAGATGGTAGGCGGAGGGCAAGGGCTGGCAACATGAGGAGGAAGACGAACCATGTGTGGACAAGGGCAAAAGAAAGAAAGAAAGTGTAGAAAGTGGATCGGTGAACTTTAGGGCACAATCGGAGGAAGAAAATATCCTTATCAGGAAGATGGTACAAGTCATAGAGACTAGAGCAAGGTCCTTGTCCAAGGATGAGTACTAGTGAAGGAGGAAGCCACATATATATGGCTGAACTCTTGAGGCTAGCTGCAGCACCTCAAAGCTGAGGGCAAGGCTAGCCAACCTTGCCAAGCTAGCGAGTGAGGCCTCATGTTGCACATGTGGGCCAGGCTGGAACGATTTTTTAGGCGCCTCAAAAACCTCAAAGCTGAGGGCAAGGCTAGCCAACCTTGCCAAGCTAGCAAGTGAGGCCTTATGTTGCACATGTGGGCCAGGCTGGAACAACAGCCCACATGGCAGCATATGGCACATCATAGGGGCCACTGGCCAGCAAGGTGAGCATTGGATGAGTGGACAGGTGGCAATGCCAACTGTGACCACACTTCACTGTGGGTGAGTGTGGTGGAGTGTGGACATGTCATGGTGAGCATAATGAGAAATTAAGTGCAGCTGCTGAGAGTTTCTTGACTTTTAAGTCGACTCCAAGGACAAGGGCAACTTATCAAAGTCGTCGCCTCAAAATGCGCCTTATTCTTGACTGTTTCTTCAGTCGAGTAAATAATGTCTGCAGGTTTCTTGACATGACTCACATGTGTTGCAGGCGCTTCAAGCCAAGGGGAGCGATTTCTGAGGCGCATCAAAACGCACCTCACAAGGGCCTCTCGCCTCGAGTCACAGGTGCTGAAGGCGCTTCGTTTCCAAAGGGCCTCTTGGCTCTACTCACATGTGCTGCAGGCGCTTCACGCCAGCGAGGGGTATACATGGTCAACGAGCCGAGCCGAGTTTTACTCGGCTCGTTCCCAGGCATACTCGTACGAGCTTTGGTCCGAGCCGAGTTTTGCTCGTACGAGCTTTTTCTGGGCAAATGCAAGCTCGTGACTCGGCCAAAAAGCACGAGCTTTTTAAAAGCTCGTCCGAGCTTTAAGGAAAGCTCGGACGAGCCGAGGGAAGCTCGGCTCGGTGCCATACACAGAGCTGCATAACCCAACCTATGCCCCACCATGTCCCTCCATCACTGCTGTGCAGGTGTACGTGGGAGGTACTAGCCTAGACATGTCACGTACTTGCCTATGTTTGTAAAACTGCTGCCTAATAAAGATACCTAGCAAGCAGTCATCACATAAATATTACCATATCCAGACCAGGTCTTTCGCCCTGGAGAGCGTCAGTATTGGGTGGGGGATCGCAGAACCAGCCCAGAGAGGGCAATAAGGTAGAACCACACCCAACCCCAAAAGCAATGGAAGTCAAAGTCTAGAATAATTAAGGATCGCACCACTTAGGGGCCACCTGCAGCAACACCACCACCAGGCGTCATCCCATTCCAGCCCACACCACATTCCCCCCCCCCCTTCTTCATGCATCATCATCCAACTCCAAGCCAAACAAATCCTTCGCGGCCTTCTCCAGCAGGGCCTTTGCCGCCTTGCCCAATTTGCACCCCTGGTGCCACTCCACCCATGATTTCAGCAACATGATCGCTTCAACGCGCTTGGGTCCTAGCCTGTGACGCTGCCACGTGATAACATTGCGGCCCTGTGAGAACGTGCGCTCGCTTGCCGCCGACGTGGCAGGTATGGCAAGGTAATCGAGCGCCATCATCTGCAGCCCCTGTAGATCCCCCTTACGTCGCCAATACGCAAGGGGGTCGACTCCCATAGGCTCCATCTGCTCATTGATGTAGTCCTGGATCTCGTCTTTGATCGTCACTGCTTGCCGGCTTCGGAAGGCAGCCAAGCGTGCCATCAAACTCGACTGATCCCCCACAACACCCCCGAAGGCATCGTTCGCAAGGCCTTTCCCCCCCTTGCTGCTGCCCGCTCCTCCACCATCCCGGGTGCTGCTGCTGCCCCCCTCTATGCCAACCCGGCCACTCGCCCCAGCAGATGACCCTCCTCCCTCCCTCTTCTCCCGCAGGGCGACCGCCTTGTCCTTGTACGGGCGCCACTTTGCCCGCACAAGTTCCATAACCTGCTCGGCAGCCATGTGCTGTGCGTTCTGGCCCCCTCCCTCCGCCGACCCCTCCTTCCCCATCTGAAAGTACCCGAGCTTGAAGCTCGGGTCCAGAAAAGTGGCAATCCACAGCTCGTCAGGGCTGCCGGAGTAGTACTCGTTCAGCTTTCCTAAAGCCAGTTTGATGCACTCCTTCATGATGCTGGAGGGAGGGGATGACTCATTGTCCCCAATCCCCTCCAGGGTGTCCAGCAGTTCGTTGAACTGCGGGACCACCCTGTTGATCGTGGGGTACTTGGACCCCTCGGCCGCCAGAGTGACGGCATGGAAGGGTCGCAGGAAGTCAGCGAGCTCCTCCAGGGCCGTCCACACCACGGGGGTGATGGTGAGATCCTTGAGGCGTGCGATCGCTTCTTCGGACATGCCCTGTGTGGAGTCGTTGGAATGAAAGTACATTCAAGGAATACTAAAGGGGGGATTAGAAGGGGAGAGGCCGGAAGCTTTCAAGACAATGTGCACCATATACATCGGAGGTTTCTCGAAACATGCATGGAGAGTATATCAATACACTTCATATGACAAGTACCTCGGTGCCGCGGCAAAAACGGTCGATCGCATGCCGCAGCTTGATGGCACGCTCGAGCATGAGGTAGGTCGAGCCCCATCTGACCTCGTTGTCCTGGCGAAGCTTCAAGATCTTGGCCTTTTTGTTCTCGGCCCTTTGAGCCTCCTCGAAAGCCGCTGTCCTCTTTGGCGAGTAGCCAATGAAGGACGCAAGATCTCGAATGAGGCCCAAGGGCTGTACTGCAGTTGGTACCAACAAAGGAAATTGGGTTGCCGCATTTGCGACAGTTGCGCCTCTCTTTCGGGTCCCCTTCGATCTTGTCGAAGCATCGCGTCACCTTACCCTTAATATTGACAGGCTTAGATGGTTTGGCATGCGGGGTAGCAGATGGAGTCACAGGCTGGTCTGCCGCATCATCCGCGCCTTTCCCACGATCCTTGCCTTTACCACCACCCTTACCCTTTCCACCACCACCTCTTCCCCGCCCACCACCCCTTCCGCGCCCACCACCTTTCCCTCGTCCAACACCAGCGCCACGCCGCCTCTTCTTCTTAGCTTGCTTTTCAACATCCACATCCTTCTCTTCATCGACAAGGTCGTCGAGATCACGAGCCTCGTCTCCTTCCTCGGCCTCCTCATCGTTCCCGACGTACACCTCTTCTTCGGAGTCATCCCCACTCCCCTCGTCCTCTTGCTCATCCCCCCCGTCCTCTTCCTCCTCGCCATCGCCCTCCTCGTCCTCGTTCTCATCCCCGTCCTCCTCCTCTTCCGCCTCTGCAGCGTCCCCTCCGTCGTCCCCCTCATAATCCGCCTCGTTCACGGCCACATTATCCTCCCAAAATCCAGCACCATCGTTTTCACCCGCCATCTCAGCATCACCACCTCCGCCACCCACCTCGCACCCATGTGTGGCGACGGCCGCGGCCTTTGTTGCTTTTTCGCGCTCCGCCTCCGCAGCGACATACTTCAGACGACGCTGCTCGCACGCAGACATCGCGTGTGGCGTACCGTCGTCGTGAACGCCTCTACCACCTCCCCTACCGTCGGTCGAACGGCCACCCCGACCACGCCCGCGTCCAGGCGGCTTACCCGACGGGGTCTTGAATGCTTTTTGTTTAGAACGTGCCATCATCGGGCGCGTTCAATCAGATCTAAGTCGTAATCGTCAGCAATGTTGAACCTAAGTCATCGAAATATTAAAACAGCCTATGGCGAATGGTCGACGCAATTCTAGATGTCAGCGCAACCTAAATCTGTGACACGGATCCCGAGTATAATCAAGGTCGTAACCATATAACTTAAGCTAAAAACGGGCCAGATTGCTCCGTGAGCTAGGAGGCGACCATGATCGCGTTTGTGAGGTGAGGGTATGCTGCATGAAAGTCGGCAAAAGTAGATCTGGAAAAATGGCCCGACACATTTGTACCAACCCAACCATCAGATCTAGGTTTTGGTGTTCGCGCCGAGCTTTCCGTAAGCTCGGCGAGTTTTTAAAACTCGCCGAGTGGAAAAAGCTTGGCGAGTTTCACAAAAAACTCGTCGGTGCAACGAGTGCTCGGCGAGTTTAAAAAACTCGCCGAGCAAAACTCGCCTCGGCTCGTCCGAGTTATTTTCCCGGAAAATGACACTCGTCACTCGCCCTCAAACGAGTGCCTCGTACGAGCCGAGGCGAAAAACTCGGCTCGTTGACCATGTATAGCGAGGGGAGCGAGCGAGCCGGTGAGATTGTTGCCGGGAAGAATGCTGCCGGGGAGAGATCGGAGGGAGTGCAGGGGGGATGGGATGGGATGGGAGGGCGGAACAGAGGGCGTGACGGGGGAAAGCGAGGGGGAAAGGGGAGTGACAGGGGGAGGGGGATGAAAGGGGCGGATCAGGGAAGGAGAGGAAGGTGGGGAGGAAGGAGGGAGAGAAGGGTGGAATTGTTGCAAAGACGATTGCTGGGAGACCAAAGGTAGGCAAGAGGGAACGAAGGAGAGGACTGGAAAGGCAAGGGTTAGGTTAGGATTGAAGGGTTAGGATCTAAGGGTTGGGGTTTAACGTTGTGCAAAAGCATTCACTGGCTTTTTGTGTTGCCATAAACTCTGGGAGGAGAAACAGGTGAACGGGTGTGTGGGGTGGGGTGGCGGGAAGGGGTGGGGGCTGGGGGGGAGGTGGTACTGCTGCCAGCTAGTGGTGGGAAGAAGCCAAAGCAAGGACGCACGCACAGCATGATGAGGTTGGTGAGGCGCGAGAAGGCAGAGGGCAGCGAGGAGGAGAGACCCACCCGTGTAAGCTCCCTGCGGAAAGGGGACGGGATGAGTGGAGATTGGTGCAGTGGAATAAAGCGGAGAGTGCGGATGAGTGGTGTCATGTGGTGTGGTGTGGAGTGGAGTGGAGTGGAGTGGAGTGGAGTGGAGTGGAGTGGAGTGGAGTGAGGTGGTGTGGAATGAAAAGAGATGATAACAGCAGGAGAGAGATACAAACGAGACGAAAGGCAAGCAAAGAACGGGTGACTCGCTTGCTGTGCCTCAATCAAACCAAGCGAAATCACTCATGAGAATTTTCACAGGCTCACAGGCAGCATAAAGGCACATCGACAGGAGCCACGTGATAAAAGAGATGTTTTGAGACGTCTCAAAACAAATTCTCACGGGCTCACAGGCAGCATAAAGGCACATCGACGGGAGCATAAGGGGGGTACAAGACCTGAAGAAGAGAAGAGGAGAACTCGCAAACGCATCACGCAGCTTTGAGTGCCCTTCTAGAGACATTATCCTTAAGAGGGACCTAGTTTTGAGGCGCCTCAAAACTAGAGAGCATTCAAAAATAGAGGGCCTGTCTCTATGCCTTGACACATCACAAGTGTCTGTCAAACGAAAAGTCTTTGTTTTGTCTTTGTTCATCAAGGCATAGTGATGGGCGAAGTCTTTGCGACAATTGCTAGCAAACAAATAAATAATAGAGGACTTACAGGCGTGTCAAGGAAGTGAGACGGGAGAAGTGGGGAATGGTGCAGGACAAGGTAGTTCCGTCCAGACTCCTGGTATGGGGGTGCCAGGAATGGGAGGCGAAAGGGGTGGATGGAAAACAAGGTTCAGGTAGGGCTTTTGAGTCGACTGAGAAGTGGGGAATGGTGCAGGACAAGGTAGTTCCGTCCAGACTCCTGGTGGTGCCCGCGTTGAGAGGGAGAGAGAGGTGTGGATGGGGGAGAAAAGAAGAGGATCGGATTAGCGTTTTGAGTCGACTCAAACTAAGAAGAGGGGAATGGAATGGGGTAGACAAGATAGTGCCGTCCAGGCTCCTGGGGGTGGATCGGGTAGGGATAATAACAGATGGGGATAATAACAGATGGAAATAATAACAGATGGGGATAATAACAGATGAGGATAATAACAGACGGGGATAATAACAGATGGGGATAATAACAGATGCGGACAGACAGGTGAGCATAGCAGACCGGGCGAGAAAAGGCATGAGAGAGAGTGACAGACAGCAAAGAGGGTGCAACTGAGCACGGTTTGCAGAGAAGAGGGTGCGTTGCGTTGCCTCGCAAGGATTCCCTCCGATTGAGAGAAGGCAAGGGGGTGGATGGGAGAGGAGAGGAGGCTCACATGGGGGTAGTAGATGGGCAGAGAAGGGGGTGCATGCATTACCCCATGGCAAGGGGGTGCATGCATTACCCCATGGCAAGCAAGGGGATTGCGGTCTGCAGAGAAGGGGGGGTGCATTGCCTCACAAGCCCTCACTATCCCATTTCCCTTCCCTCACAGGTATTCGAGTCTCACAGTAATTTGAGTAGCTTCAGTTGGGACATGGATGCAGGGAATGATCCCCCCGCCGCGACTGAGTTGGAGATTTCCCTGCAGCGATGGTGGAGTGGAGAGGAAGAGAGGACGAGACGAGAGAGCATCACAAGGGTGACCCTAAATGACTGCATAAAACGTTCGTAACGCACAGAACGATCTACCCTAGAACGACGGCTCAGAGTGGTTTGAGTCGGTTCAGTTGGGTTGGGACATGGATGCGCAGGGAAATGACCCGCCTGCAACCGAGTGGGATACTTCCGTGCAGCGTTGGTGGGGATCGGGAGAGAACGTTGATGGTGCATGCAGGGATAATGATGGAGGAGAGATGTAGAGGTGGAGAGATGAAAGATGACTTACTGGTGGAGGTTACAAAGACACCATCTATGAGCATGCAGCAGCATATACAGCAGCCGGGAAGAAGTACAGCCATTTTGCTTACGATGGTTACAAAACAACACGGCTTGCAGCAAGCACAGAGTGGTTGGGCTGGGCGTACAGTGGCGCAGATGGGTTGAGGAGGGATCGTACAGTGAGGTGAGGGAGGTGAGTTGGCCGATGATTGAAGGAATGCTTGGCATGCGCGTGGGTGGAGTGGAAGAGGAAGAGAGCCGCCTGTGCGCAGGGGAGAAAGGTATAAAGGGAAGAGGCGGGTTGGATTCTAAGCTGAGTGCCTCTCAAAGGTGAGGGAGGTGGTTTGGCAGATGAGAGCACAGAGGGAATGGTTGGCATGCGGGTGGGTGGGTGGGTGGGTGGAATGGACGAAGAAGACAGACGCATGTGAGCAGCGGAGAAGAGGGAAGTTTTTGAGACGTCTTGTGTAGCGAGGGTGTTTTTGAGACGTCTCAACTGTGTAGCGAGGGTGTTTTTGAGACGTCTCAAAAACACCCTCGCTACACGTGGGTGGAATGGACGAAGTAGACAGACGCATGTGAGCAGCGGAGAAGAGGGAACGAGTCAGGTTGAGAATTGAGGTGCCTTTGGGGTTAAGTTAACGGCAAATCAGAAAGAAGCTTTAGAATGCGTCCGGACCGAATCAGTGGAGAAGGAACAGCACAGCGGTCTCATCGTGCAGGTAGAACAAACGTCTCCTTGAAAAGTCCATGAGTTCACACCCTCTCCTTTCCTTGTAAATCCCATGGGTCCGATGGGGATTTCCGAGTGAGCAGTGAGTGGCACAGAGCAGGCAGCAGCAGAAAGGAAGGATGGATGGCATTCTCACAGGGATTGCAGGCGCACGAGTGACAAAACCTCCTGAGGAAGAGAGAGCATGGACACGAGCTTTCTGTAGCAGAGAGGAACCGAAGCAGAGAGGATTCGAGGCAGACGGAGGGAGGAGAGACGGAACAGGGGGGATGGGTATGGAAGAGGAGACGGTTTTGTGGTGAGAATGAGGATGATGAGTGGACGCATGACATTCGCTTGGGTTCCAGGCGTATGCTTTTTGAGAATTCTCAAAAAGAATGAGAATGAGGATGAGTGGACGCATGACATTCGCTTGGGTTCCAGGCGTATGTTTTTTGAGAATTCTCAAAAGAATGAGAATGAGGATGAGTGGACGCATGACATTCGCTTGGGTTCCAGGCGTATGTTTTTTTAGAATTCTCAAAAAGAATGAGGATGAGGATGAGTGGACGCATGACATTCGCTTGGGTTCCAGGCGTATGTTTTTTGAGAATTCTCAAAAAGAATGAGAATGAGGATGATGAGTGGACGCATGACATTCGCTTGGGTTCCAGGCGTATGTTTTTTGAGAATTCTCAAAAAGAATGAGAATGAGGATGAGTGGACGCATGACATTCGCTTGGGTTCCAGGCGTATGTTTTTTGAGAATTCTCAAAAAGAATGAGAATGAGGATGAGTGGACGCATGACATTCGCTTGGGTTCCAGGCGTATGTTTTTTGAGAATTCTCAAAAAGAATGAGAATGAGGATGAGTGGACGCATGCCATTCGCTTGGGTTCAAGGCGCTCAGGGCGGGCGGCTTTCTGAAGAGCAAGCACACGATGACAGGACACGAGCTTGCTGCAGGAGAGCATGCACACGATGACAGGACACGAGCATGCTGCAGGAGAGCGTGCACACGATGACAGGACACAAGCTTGCTGCAGGAGAGCAAGCACACGATGACAGGACACGAGCTTGCTGCAGGAGAGCATGCACACGATGACAGGACACGAGCTTGCTGCAAGAGAGCATGCACACGATGACAGGACACGAGCTTGCTGCAGGAGAGCATGCACACGATGACAGGACACGAGCTTGCTGCAGGAGAGCGTGCACACGATGACAGGACACGAGCTTGCTGCAGGAGAGCATGCACACGATGACAGGAGCTTGCTACAGGAGAGCATGCACACGATGACAGGACACGAGCTTGCTGCAGGAGGAGAGAGCAATTCCGCGTGCCGCGAGCTCGCCTTGTGTCTAGCAGCGAGACGGATATGGTATCCCGGCACACATAAATATACAACATTAGCATTATAAAAAAAACGGATATGGTATCCGACACGCATGAACATACGACATCCTGCTAGCGGTAACCAACATTTGCAGAGAGCGTGTAACGTGAGAAGACCTAACTAGCCGTGGCTGTAATGTAACAGAGCGCGCTTTTGAGTCGACTCAAAAGTAACGCGAGAAGACCTAACTAGCCGTGATTGTAACAGAGCAACTTTTGAGGCGCCTCAAAAGTCACAGAGCGTGTAACGCGAGAAGACCTAACTAGCCGTGGCTGTAATGTAACAGAGCGCGCTTTTGAGTCGACTCAAAAGTAACGCGAGAAGACCTAACTAGCCGTGATTGTAACAGAGCAACTTTTGAGGCGCCTCAAAAGTCACAGAGCGTGTAACGCGAGAAGACCTAACTAGCCGTGGTTGTAACAGAGCGCCTTTCGAGGCGCCTCAAAAGAGAGCGTGTAACGCGAGAAGACCTCACTAGCCGTGGTTGTAACAGAGCCGTGGTTGTAACAGAGCCGTGGTTGTAACAGAGCGCCAGGAGGGTGAATGCTGACAGCTGAGAGAGAGGACCCTTTCGAGGCGCCTCAAAGGTTTTGAGGCGCCTCATAACGCGAGAAGTCCTAACTAGCCGTGGCTGTAACAGAGCCGTGGTTGTAACAGAGCCGCGGTTGTAACAGAGCCGTGGTTGTAACAGAGCGCCAGGAGGGTGAATGCTGACAGCTGAGAGAGAGGACCCTTTCGAGGCGCCTCAAAGGTGTTGAGGCGCCTCATAACGCGAGAAGTCCTAACTAGCCGTGGCTGTAACAGAGCCGTGGTTGTAACAGAGCCGTGGTTGTAACAGAGCCATGGCTGTAACAGAGCCGTGGCTGTAACAGAGCCGTGGTTGTAACAGAGCCGTGGTTGTAACAAAGCCGTGGTTGTAACAGAGCCGTGGTTGTAACAGACCTAACTAGCCGTGGCTGTAACAGACCTAACTAGCCGTGGTTGTAACAGACCTAACTAGCCGTGGTTGTAACAGACCTAACTAGCCGTGGTTGTAACAGACCTAACTAGCCGTGGTTGTAACAGACCTAACTAGCCGTGGTTGTAACAGACCTAACTAGCCGTGGTTGTAACAGAGCGCCAGGAGGGTGAATGCTGACAGCTGAGAGAGAGGCCCTACTGAGAATCTTCAAAAGCGACTCAGATATTGCCAGGCGGACCAAACCAAGCCAAGCCAAGCCAAGCAATGTTCGACACATAAAGCTCACAAGAACGAACACTTGGAGTCTTCACTATTATCTTATACGTACAGTGAGGTCACGTATCCCTGCGCTTCACACTCTATCTCCGTTATAAGGTCGCAATCGTCCTCCACCTCCACGCCCCCGCTCGTCCCATTGCCATTGCCACCCGCGCTGCCGCTGCCCGTTCCCCCTGATGACGGGTCTCCCACGGCCTGCTGCTGGCTCAGAATCACGCTCAACGCGATCCCTGGGGAGGGGAATACCAGAATGGGGAAACGGGGGGTTGATTTGCCCGTCCCCCAGATGACGGGTCACGCACAGCCTGCTGCTGGCTCAGGATGGGGATGTGGGTCAAGGATGGGGATGTGGGTCAAGGATGGGGATGTGGGTCAAGGATGGGGATGTGGGTCAAGGATGGGGATGTGGGTCAAGGATGGGGATGTGGGTCAAGGATGGGGATGTGGGTCAAGGATGGGGATGTGGGTCAAGGATGGGGATGTGGGTCAAGGATGGGGATGTGGGTCAAGGATGGGGATGTGGGTCAAGGATGGGATGTGGGTCAAGGATGGGGATGTGGGTCAAGGATGGGGATGTGGGTCAAGGATGGGGATGTGGGTCAAGGATGGGGATGTGGGTCAAGGATGGGGATGTGGGTCAAGGATGGGGATGTGGGTCAAGGATGGGGATGTGGGTCAAGGATGGGGATGTGGGTCAAGGATGGGGATGTGGGTCAAGGATGGGGATGTGGGTCAAGGATGGGGATGTGGGTCAAGGATGGGGATGTGGGTCAAGGATGGGGATGTGGGTCAAGGATGGGGATGTGGGTCAAGGATGGGGATGTGGGTCAAGGATGGGGATGTGGGTCAAGGATGGGGATGTGGGTCAAGGATGGGGATGTGGGTCAAGGATGGGGATGTGGGTCAAGGATGGGGATGTGGGTCAAGGATGGGGATGTGGGTCAAGGATGGGGATGTGGGTCAAGGATGGGGATGTGGGTCAAGGATGGGGATGTGGGTCAAGGATGGGGATGTGGGTCAAGGATGGGGATGTGGGTCAAGGATGGGGATGTGGGTCAAGGATGGGGATGTGGGTCAAGGATGGGGATGTGGGTCAAGGATGGGGATGTGGGTCAAGGATGGGGATGTGGGTCAAGGATGGGGATGTGGGTCAAGGATGGGGATGTGGGTCAAGGATGGGGATGTGGGTCAAGGATGGGGATGTGGGTCAAGGATGGGGATGTGGGTCAAGGATGGGGATGTGGGTCAAGGATGGGGATGTGGGTCAAGGATGGGGATGTGGGTCAAGGATGGGGATGTGGGTCAAGGATGGGGATGTGGGTCAAGGATGGGGATGTGGGTCAAGGATGGGGATGTGGGTCAAGGATGGGGATGTGGGTCAAGGATGGGGATGTGGGTCAAGGATGGGGATGTGGGTCAAGGATGGGGATGTGGGTCAAGGATGGGGATGTGGGTCAAGGATGGGGATGTGGGTCAAGGATGGGGATGTGGGTCAAGGATGGGGATGTGGGTCAAGGATGGGGATGTGGGTCAAGGATGGGGATGTGGGTCAAGGATGGGGATGTGGGTCAAGGATGGGGATGTGGGTCAAGGATGGGGATGTGGGTCAAGGATGGGGATGTGGGTCAAGGATGGGGATGTGGGTCAAGGATGGGGATGTGGGTCAAGGATGGGGATGTGGGTCAAGGATGGGGATGTGGGTCAAGGATGGGGATGTGGGTCAAGGATGGGGATGTGGGTCAAGGATGGGGATGTGGGTCAAGGATGGGGATGTGGGTCAAGGATGGGGATGTGGGTCAAGGATGGGGATGTGGGTCAAGGATGGGGATGTGGGTCAAGGATGGGGATGTGGGTCAAGGATGGGGATGTGGGTCAAGGATGGGGATGTGGGTCAAGGATGGGGATGTGGGTCAAGGATGGGGATGTGGGTCAAGGATGGGGATGTGGGTCAAGGATGGGGATGTGGGTCAAGGATGGGGATGTGGGTCAAGGATGGGGATGTGGGTCAAGGATGGGGATGTGGGTCAAGGATGGGGATGTGGGTCAAGGATGGGGATGTGGGTCAAGGATGGGGATGTGGGTCAAGGATGGGGATGTGGGTCAAGGATGGGGATGTGGGTCAAGGATGGGGATGTGGGTCAAGGATGGGGATGTGGGTCAAGGATGGGGATGTGGGTCAAGGATGGGGATGTGGGTCAAGGATGGGGATGTGGGTCAAGGATGGGGATGTGGGTCAAGGATGGGGATGTGGGTCAAGGATGGGGATGTGGGTCAAGGATGGGGATGTGGGTCAAGGATGGGGATGTGGGTCAAGGATGGGGATGTGGGTCAAGGATGGGGATGTGGGTCAAGGATGGGGATGTGGGTCAAGGATGGGGATGTGGGTCAAGGATGGGGATGTGGGTCAAGGATGGGGATGTGGGTCAAGGATGGGGATGTGGGTCAAGGATGGGGATGTGGGTCAAGGATGGGGATGTGGGTCAAGGATGGGGATGTGGGTCAAGGATGGGGATGTGGGTCAAGGATGGGGATGTGGGTCAAGGATGGGGATGTGGGTCAAGGATGGGGATGTGGGTCAAGGATGGGGATGTGGGTCAAGGATGGGGATGTGGGTCAAGGATGGGGATGTGGGTCAAGGATGGGGATGTGGGTCAAGGATGGGGATGTGGGTCAAGGATGGGGATGTGGGTCAAGGATGGGGATGTGGGTCAAGGATGGGGATGTGGGTCAAGGATGGGGATGTGGGTCAAGGATGGGGATGTGGGTCAAGGATGGGGATGTGGGTCAAGGATGGGGATGTGGGTCAAGGATGGGGATGTGGGTCAAGGATGGGGATGTGGGTCAAGGATGGGGATGTGGGTCAAGGATGGGGATGTGGGTCAAGGATGGGGATGTGGGTCAAGGATGGGGATGTGGGTCAAGGATGGGGATGTGGGTCAAGGATGGGGATGTGGGTCAAGGATGGGGATGTGGGTCAAGGATGGGGATGTGGGTCAAGGATGGGGATGTGGGTCAAGGATGGGGATGTGGGTCAAGGATGGGGATGTGGGTCAAGGATGGGGATGTGGGTCAAGGATGGGGATGTGGGTCAAGGATGGGGATGTGGGTCAAGGATGGGGATGTGGGTCAAGGATGGGGATGTGGGTCAAGGATGGGGATGTGGGTCAAGGATGGGGATGTGGGTCAAGGATGGGGATGTGGGTCAAGGATGGGGATGTGGGTCAAGGATGGGGATGTGGGTCAAGGATGGGGATGTGGGTCAAGGATGGGGATGTGGGTCAAGGATGGGGATGTGGGTCAAGGATGGGGATGTGGGTCAAGGATGGGGATGTGGGTCAAGGATGGGGATGTGGGTCAAGGATGGGGATGTGGGTCAAGGATGGGGATGTGGGTCAAGGATGGGGATGTGGGTCAAGGATGGGGATGTGGGTCAAGGATGGGGATGTGGGTCAAGGATGGGGATGTGGGTCAAGGATGGGGATGTGGGTCAAGGATGGGGATGTGGGTCAAGGATGGGGATGTGGGTCAAGGATGGGGATGTGGGTCAAGGATGGGGATGTGGGTCAAGGATGGGGATGTGGGTCAAGGATGGGGATGTGGGTCAAGGATGGGGATGTGGGTCAAGGATGGGGATGTGGGTCAAGGATGGGGATGTGGGTCAAGGATGGGGATGTGGGTCAAGGATGGGGATGTGGGTCAAGGATGGGGATGTGGGTCAAGGATGGGGATGTGGGTCAAGGATGGGGATGTGGGTCAAGGATGGGGATGTGGGTCAAGGATGGGGATGTGGGTCAAGGATGGGGATGTGGGTCAAGGATGGGGATGTGGGTCAAGGATGGGGATGTGGGTCAAGGATGGGGATGTGGGTCAAGGATGGGGATGTGGGTCAAGGATGGGGATGTGGGTCAAGGATGGGGATGTGGGTCAAGGATGGGGATGTGGGTCAAGGATGGGGATGTGGGTCAAGGATGGGGATGTGGGTCAAGGATGGGGATGTGGGTCAAGGATGGGGATGTGGGTCAAGGATGGGGATGTGGGTCAAGGATGGGGATGTGGGTCAAGGATGGGGATGTGGGTCAAGGATGGGGATGTGGGTCAAGGATGGGGATGTGGGTCAAGGATGGGGATGTGGGTCAAGGATGGGGATGTGGGTCAAGGATGGGGATGTGGGTCAAGGATGGGGATGTGGGTCAAGGATGGGGATGTGGGTCAAGGATGGGGATGTGGGTCAAGGATGGGGATGTGGGTCAAGGATGGGGATGTGGGTCAAGGATGGGGATGTGGGTCAAGGATGGGGATGTGGGTCAAGGATGGGGATGTGGGTCAAGGATGGGGATGTGGGTCAAGGATGGGGATGTGGGTCAAGGATGGGGATGTGGGTCAAGGATGGGGATGTGGGTCAAGGATGGGGATGTGGGTCAAGGATGGGGATGTGGGTCAAGGATGGGGATGTGGGTCAAGGATGGGGATGTGGGTCAAGGATGGGGATGTGGGTCAAGGATGGGGATGTGGGTCAAGGATGGGGATGTGGGTCAAGGATGGGGATGTGGGTCAAGGATGGGGATGTGGGTCAAGGATGGGGATGTGGGTCAAGGATGGGGATGTGGGTCAAGGATGGGGATGTGGGTCAAGGATGGGGATGTGGGTCAAGGATGGGGATGTGGGTCAAGGATGGGGATGTGGGTCAAGGATGGGGATGTGGGTCAAGGATGGGGATGTGGGTCAAGGATGGGGATGTGGGTCAAGGATGGGGATGTGGGTCAAGGATGGGGATGTGGGTCAAGGATGGGGATGTGGGTCAAGGATGGGGATGTGGGTCAAGGATGGGGATGTGGGTCAAGGATGGGGATGTGGGTCAAGGATGGGGATGTGGGTCAAGGATGGGGATGTGGGTCAAGGATGGGGATGTGGGTCAAGGATGGGGATGTGGGTCAAGGATGGGGATGTGGGTCAAGGATGGGGATGTGGGTCAAGGATGGGGATGTGGGTCAAGGATGGGGATGTGGGTCAAGGATGGGGATGTGGGTCAAGGATGGGGATGTGGGTCAAGGATGGGGATGTGGGTCAAGGATGGGGATGTGGGTCAAGGATGGGGATGTGGGTCAAGGATGGGGATGTGGGTCAAGGATGGGGATGTGGGTCAAGGATGGGGATGTGGGTCAAGGATGGGGATGTGGGTCAAGGATGGGGATGTGGGTCAAGGATGGGGATGTGGGTGTGGGTGGGAAATGCAAGGTGGCTTTGCCGGTTCCCCCTGATGACGGGTCCCCCATGGCCTGCCGCTGGCTCAGAATCACGTTCAACGCGATCCCTGGGGAATGCCGACATGGGGAACGAGAGGTGGGGGGAGGGGGGAGGGGGGAGGGGGAAGGGGGAGGGATTTGGGTGGGGGAATAGTGTGGATAGGGAAGAGAGAGAGGGGGAGTGAGGGGTGGTGGGGAAAAGGGGGCCGTGGGTGGGTTACCAGCAAAACCTGGATGGCAATTACTCGGAAGAATGAGCTAATATCGAGGAAAAAGAATGAGCTAATCTCGAGGAAATCGGACGGTGGCGTGTCTTTGAGGCGCTTCCGCGGCAAGGCCGAGACGCGACGCGACGCGACGCAACGCCAGGATGGGCTGTGGGAGAATGAGAGGGGTGGGGTTGGGGAGGGCGAGAGAGACTCACTCTGCGACTCGCAAATCGGGAGACCGTCGCTCGACGACACCGCGAACGCTGCAAGCAGGCATGCTGCGACGATGGCGACGACGGCGGTTTGAGTCGCACATAGTGGTAACTGGCGAACCGGCCTTGATGATGTCGCGACAAGTCGTGTCGTCGCAGTGATTCGTGACGCACCTGCAGTCGCAGTCGCAGTCACATTCGCAGTCGCAGTCGCAGTAGGAGTCGCAGTCGCAGTCGCATTCTTGTTCGCATTCGCCACCGAACATCGAGAACTAATAGATCGCGCATCATGTCTATTACGAAGCGACACCAGGTCAGATCGCTCGAATCTATCGAATCTATCGACTTCCACTACCCGTACAAGCCTGACAACTCTGCTTCCAATAGTAGTAACACTGGTACGCGGTGCGGGATCGCCAACACTACTAGCATTGTCAGGTCGGGCATGGCGCGCTAGGCAGTCTTCAGGCGGCATGGCCGTACGTTCCTGCCAATGAGGCCGCTTGGCACGTGCTGTAGTAACGTGGAACTTAGGAGCCACCGTAATAGGAGCCGTCTGAAGTTCGGTGGTTCATCGGCGTTTAGTCGCCGCCACGAATAGCACTACTAGTTCCCATGCTTGCGAATGTACGGTATCGTAAATCAACCATTAGGGTTCTCAACCATTACAGCATCAGAAAAATGCGAGAGGCGTTTTGGGTCGTAAACGCCTTCTTGTGCGTCGTTTGTGTTGTAGTTACCGTGATTTACCCCCACGGCAATAAACCACCAAGGGTATTGCCCTTTGTGATTGGAAAACGGGGGGGTGTCGGAACCAGCATATATCCCCGGTTGTTCAGCTACAGTGTCCAAGCGTTAACCAGGATTGATTGGGTTTGCTCAGTAGTTAACGACAGTTCGCGAGTAGGGAAGGTTGGGATGATATACCTCAGCGGACGAAAAATGCCGCCCAATTTCGCGGTTCAAAAGGGACAAGGCCCCCCCTCGGGATTGACGACCTCCCGACGACCTCCGAGCTCCCAGACGGGCCCAAATGGCGTCCCAGGGGCCTCGGGAGCCCTCGGGATTGTCGACAATCCGACGACACCCGGTTTTGCTGGGAGATTCCTGAGAAGGAAATCTCAGCGGACAAAATTCGCCACGTCGAGCCGCGGATGCCTCCACGCGGACCAATAGGGAGGTGCGAGACCCGCCCCACCGATTACAAGGCTGCCACGACGTGGGCGTCGTGGCCACGCGTCGCTCTAGCGGTGCAAACCCACGCGGCGCAAATCGGACCGTCCACATCTTCACTGTCTTGTGGCATCGCGGGTTGCCAGGGAAGTCGGTGTCGACCAGATCCATGTCTGCTTGCCTTAATTTCTTCACTGGGGCGCCAATGGCGGTCGCAAGCCGCGTAACGCACGCCCATTCCGACGTGGAATGGCACTGGCTTACGCCCCTTCCGTGCAGCGCGGCGCCCAACTAGCCATGCCTGGCACGTGCCACGTCGGACAGTGCGCCGCCTTTACGAGAACACATGCACGGCGGCGGATGCATTGGGGTGTGCGTGACGCGCGGCAGCATCGTAGTCGCTCAGGACCATACCCGTCCGTTGCCCCGCGAGCCTGCTCATTCGCTTGTCCGTTCCTGCGTTCCTTCCTGCTCTCTCGTTCCCTTGGAATTTTCAGCTGCCAGTCTGTCATCGCGCCTGTAGGTTGCTCGTCCAAGTCGGCACAGGTTCCACGTCGCGAGTCGACGTAGCAAGTCGGCGACGCATGGCCAGAGGTCGCCCGAGGGCCCAACAGCCGCAACCCATCCCACCCCCCGCCGACTCGGTAGACGCCGACATCAAGGCGCAGCTGGAACAGCTTGAACTCGAAGCCGAGCTAGACGCGCTTGAGCGAGAATTCGAAGAAGACGAAGACCGCCTGACGCTTCGCGCGTTCGCCGCACCCGTCACACAGTACCGTCTCTGGTTTACCACCCCCCGCGATCTCGAGGTCGACGCCGAGATAGACGTTATTGAGGGACATCTCGAGGACGACCGCCGCGCAACTGTTCGGGCGTACACCGCACCCGTGACTCAGTACCGGCAGTGGTTTAACAACCTCCCCAACGCACACGGACGACGGTAGAGCAGCAGACGTGTACCGACATGGCCGACGTCGACATGTCCGACGCTAGGCCATCCACCGACCAGGGTCCGACGACCACCGACCGCAGTCCGACATCCACCGACCACAGTCCGACACCTACCGACGAAGACAACCTGCAGTTACTCTACGATCTGGACAAGCTGACGCAGATCCCAGAAGGGGTGTTCACCACGGACGTTCCGCCACCGCCGATAGGGAAGTTCAACAAGAAGAAAAAACAGACTCCTACGCAAAATGGTCGGCCAGGTACCTCGTCGGCACCGGCCGCCCCTGGAAACCAGGTCGATGACGAGGACGCGGAGGAGGAGGGGGAGGAGGAGGAGGAGGAGGAGGAGGAGGAGGAGGAGGAGGAGGAGGAGGAGGAGGAGGAGGAAAGCGATGACGAAAACGACGACCGTCCACCTCGTAGCTCTAATCCGCGCACCTTGGACGAACGACTCAGGCGGGAACTGCAATTCATCGACATACTGCTCGACCAGGACGAGGACGAGGACCAGGAGAACTTGGCGGTGCCGCGCGAACAGTGGAGAGCGGCAGACTTCGTCGAGGAGGACATGGTTTACGCGTGCGTAGACGTGCTCGTCATGGACGCTCTTCGCCACCTGCAAACCGTGGAGAGGAACAGCACGCTGAGGCAGTACACCTCGTGGATCTATCACTACAAGAGGTGGGCGGCGAAGATGTTGAAGCAAATTCGCAACAAGCTTCCGCAGGAGTACAGGCTTAAGCACGTCGACGAGATAGGGCACTACATCCGGGAGAACAAGAAGAAAAACTGGGACCAAGATTTCAGAATCACTAGGCAAGAATGGATGAACTAACAGGAGTTTGGGTACAAATATGAAACCCTAGTTGGGGTTGTACCCCATATTGGCTACCCCACTACAGCCTACAAGCATAATACAGTTTAACACACCCCCATAGGCAAAGTGGGGGAGAACAAAGGGTCACAAGACCAGTCCAGCAAAGCAAAGCAACGCCCAGGGTGGATCACAACGTCACCACACTCCGAGCACAAGTAAAGGCCACAAGGCCAGTTCACATGCAGTGCTAGATATAGTATAAGACAAGCAACACAGTGATCAAAACCTAGCAAGTAAGCAACAAGATATATATAAAGTACAGTACAAAGAATGTCAAGCAGTGAGCAAGTGAGGAAACGTGGACACAAGGCCTAAAGAAGTACAGTGCCGCTGATGATCACTAGGCGGGAGCGCCTTGGTGAAGATATCAGCAGTGTTGGCCTTCGAGTCCACGTACACAAGCCGAAGCTGACCGCGCTGCTGAAGCTCTCGAGCAAGAAAGTAGCGAAGAGCAATGTGCTTCGTCCTGTGCTCCAGTCTGTGCTCCTGACACAAGGCAAGAGCCGCCTTGTTGTCACCGTACAGAACTGGAGGAGAACTAGGCCGCTCTCCCAAGTCAGTCAGCAGGTAGGTGAGCCAGCGTAACTCCTGTGCAGCCATGGCTGTGGCGTAGATCTCAGCCTCACAACTAGAGCCGAGAACAGAGGAAGAGCGGGTGGACCGCCACGAGACAGAACCTGAGCCAAGGCTGAAGGTGTAACCCTGTGACGACCGCTGCGTAGCCAGGTCGTCCACCCAAGAGGCGTCCGAGTGACCAGTGAGGACAACTCTGTCGCGTCCTCCAAGCACCAGCCCCATGCCTGATGTACTGCACAGGTAACGCAGCACCCTCTTAGCAGCCTCCCAGTGCTCTCGCCTGTGTCTCCCAGGCGCAACGTAACGAGCAAGGATGCTAAGAGGGTACGCGAGGTCAGGTCGCGTGCAAGTCATCAGGTACATGAGGCAGCCTACAAGCTCTGGGTACGGGGTAGCGTGGTAACCGCATGCGAGCGGTGGTGGGCCCTAAAAAAAAACGATCGGTAGGTCCTAGGGACCTCCTGCTCTGAATACCATTTCAGAATCACTAGGCAAGAATGGATGAACTAACAGGAGTTTGGGTACAAATATGAAACCCTAGTTGGGGTTGTACCCCATATTGGCTACCCCACTACACCCTACAAGCATAATACAGTTTAACACAAGAGGCCGATGTCCCCCGGTCTCACGTGTGGCTGCACGGCCCTAGGGTCACCAAGGACCGGCTTCGCGCATACGTGAAGTACATGATTCGGGAGTTGAACCTCGATGCCGAGTCCGGCAAGGGGGCCGACAACGCCACAGGAACACAGCCGGTGCAGTCGACAACGGTACACACGCTCCTCGGGCGCATAAAGGCATGCCAGATGGCGGCGAGAGTGGAGGCGACGCTCTTCCGGGAGACGGAACTGAGCATCATGAGGGAGATATCGGTGGTCAGGTCGGAGGTGCGGTACATGATCCGCACCAAGAACGAGCGGGACATCAAGTGAGTTTATGTTTTAACCTACGTCGACCACTCTCCTGCTGTCATGATCTTTGTCGACGCCGCCCTAAATACCCCTTGCCCATGGCATTGTTGGCAGGAACTGCGCCGATCGCCGTCGCGGAACCATCGGCGATACCTACACCGCCGAACAGTTCCGCCAGATCATGTTCAGGGTGCTGCCGGCGTGGGCGGCCAAGGCGTGGAACCCGCGGGGTACGGGTCCTTCGCAGACGCTGTGGAGGTTTCTTCTCTTGAAGGTGCTCACGCTACTCTCCCACCACTCTCTCCTGCGCGGTGCAAGCATCCGCGAGATCACTCTCCCCGACATCTTCTTGTACCGACTGGCGAGCACCTCCTCGATCAACCCGGAGAACCAGCCGGTCGTCATGGTCATCGGAGCGCGGAACTCGAAGACGTCCAAGGATGCTCGTCTGCAGCAGAGCTACGCCGCGCGGCACCTCGAAGCGGAGTTGTGCGCCGTCGGCGAGACGGGCCTGTGGTTGCACTTCGTCCTCGATCAGATCGGTCAGTTTCACGGCGTCCGCCTCATTCCGCCGGTCGACACCAGCACACGCGCTAGCTGGTACAAGAAACACCTGTTCTTCGCCAAAAACGACACCGACCAGGGTGAGCTCTCTGCGGCAACCCACCAACGCTGGACGCGGCAGTTGTGGGACACCAACAAGGTGTTCTGCAAGAGGAACGTGCACGCCGCTCGAGCGGGCGGGGCCCAGGAGCTGGCTATCGACGGCACGCCGCGCGCCGAGATCGCGGAGCTTGGACACTGGGCTCTCGACAAGATGACGCGAGCGTACATCACCGCCATTCCGGTGGGGGTGGTGATGAAGAAGGCCGGGTACTCGGGGTACAAGCAGGACTACTTCTTGGGTCGGAGCAGGGTGCCGCCCTCCGAGAAGCTCCTGAAGCTCCTCGCCGAGCACATATTCCCCGGCGTCGACGACATGCTGAAGGAGGTATGTTAGTCGACGCCCTCGTAGCTTGCCGCCGAGTCGTGTTGCCGACCTTTTCTGAGCTCCCCGTACCCGTGACAAATGGCAGGCGGAAGGGAAGGCTGTCGAGGGGTCAGACGCCGACAAAGCCGCGGTGCACTTCTGGCGCACTCTCCTGATGCTGCGCCGCATCGTCGCCGAGGACCTAGCGGTGAAGCTAGTCCGCACACCATGGCACCCGTACGTCCAAGGTTCCAAGCTCTGCCGGATCCCCCTCTTCCAGCACTGGGCGAAACGGGTGGAGAGCGTCGACACCGAGACGATCAACAAGCGTCGGGACCCGACCCAAATACAGCCAGAGGTAAGTCGACGATACTGTCGCCGACGTGCAGTAGGGAGTGTAAACCAAACCACCGCGGCCCTCACGTTTTTCTCCTCCTACTGCTGCAGGAAATCTCGGTGCGCATGGACACCGAGTACTACAACATGTCCCTCATGGCCCAGATGCAGAAGGAGAAAGAGCGCGCCGCGAACGAGAAGATTGATCTCCTAGAGGAGATCGAGAAGCGCGACGACGCCATCGCTGGGCTCACCGCCGAGCTAGCCCGTGTCACCGAGGCACTCCGCTTGTCGGAAGCACGGAGAGTGCCGGTGGCCCCGCCGTCGGCTCCCGCGCAGACTCCCAGCGATGGTGGATCGGCGGAGTCGGCCAGCACGGGGGCTGGAGCCAAGAAAGGGGATGACAAACCCCCGCCCCCCCCACAGACGGACGAGGAGGCCAGTTACGAGCTCAACGTGGTGCAACCGTGGCGGGAGGCAAAGACTGTGAGGGACGCTTGGCGCCTATGGAATTCCGCCACCGCCAATGACACCCGTCGCCTTTGCGACAGGGTCGCCGAGAAGGGATTCGTCGCCCGCCACACCCTCCTCACAGGAAAGGGCGCGACGCAGGGTGGGCTCGACACGAAAGTGCGACGCATGATGAGGGCCATGGATGCGGTGCGCCAGCTACGCGCGAGCGACGGCGACGCCGACACCGAGGCCGTGGTCGACGCACTGAACAGGATCGCGGCACCGGGCATTGGGACCTTCTGTGACGCCCTCACGGTGCTCAACCCGAAAACGGAACCGATGAAGTCGAAAGAGCCTGGCATGGGAGTCAAGGGGCTGGGCCCCAAGGTTGTCTCTAAGCTTCGCCTCGCCTGTGGGCTTGTCGCGCTCAATCTGAAGCCGGCCGAATGGCTCGAAGCCCTCTTTCCAGACACCTGGGAGGAGCAGATGCCGAAGACCAAGGCCGACCTGGCGAAGCCGACCGCACCTGCCAAGTCGACAGCACCGGCCAAGCCGACCGCACCCGTGCAGCGTCCTCCGACCAAGCGCAAGAAGACGGCATGAAGTCCCTCATGGGATATGCGTCTGCGTAGATTTTGGCAGACTTCAACAGCCCCCCCCTCCCCCCCCCCCCCCCCCCCCCGCCCCATCCGACTGATGTTTCTGGTAGTTTGTAAACATCCCACATCAATGTCCATGCGAACCGATGTTGCCGATGTTGGTTGTTTGTCGCCCAGTACAGTAGGTGTGGCTAAAAATCACTGTCGACGCCGACAACCATGTTTCTGCACTGCTTATCGCCGACGTATCATGTGCATATCATGTCGACATATGCGCCGACTTGGCTCATCGGGTGATATTCGGCTAGCATGGTTATACAGGGACACAGAGTTGTTAGCCCAATATTGAAACGAACAGCACTTGAACAAAAAAAGGCCACATTTAACAAATCTACGCCAAAATCGGCGCCGTCCATACCAATATAGTACACACCCTAGCAACCTAGCAAACATCATTCCGCCGACTACGCATCCGTACTACCTCTTCCTCTTGCTGCCCTTGGCCTGCTTGACCTTCTCCCCCTTCCTCCCCCTGTGATCCAAGTCGTACTCCATCTTCGCGTCACACGGCACATCGATGCCCTCCGCTTTGAGCTTGGGCCCGTCGAGGGGGCACATTCCCCAGAACGCCAAGGTCTCGACCGTCGCTCTTGCGATCATGTCGGCCTCGTCTTCCTCAATGCCCGCCTCGAAGGCCCTGGCCACTCCATAGCGCTGCAGCTCTGGCGCGACGTTATGTGCAACCTCCCCCGCGGGAGCCTGCCGAGTGCGTGCGTGTTCGATAACCACGTGCATGACCATCGCGAAGTGCTCGCCCCTCTCCTTCCCCGCACCTGCCAGAATCGCGGCCGCCTTACCTTCGCCCACAGCACCGAGCACCGACGCCGGCGTCGACATGTAGCACCAGAGGGCGCATGCAGAGGCCGCTAACGCCTGGGCCCCCATCTGCACCTTCTCGTCCGCCTTCCTGTCCGCGCCTTCCATATCCGTCGTCTCTCCCGCGGTCGCCTCCGCGCTCCCGTCGACCTTCCCATACGCGACTCTCGCCGCGACCTTTCCATACGCCGCGCACATCGACACGCGATTCACCATCGCCGACATGTTTGCATTTGTCTCCGCCCTGCCTTCCTCCGTGTCCTCGATGATGGGGAACCACATCGCCGGCCAGAGCACGCCATGAAGCGCATCACCCGAACCTGCGTACCCACGGAACCTGCCGAGTATGTCGTCGAACCTGCCGAGCGAACACGTACACATAGAATTAATGACACCGACTTGGTCGTCAAAACACGGCATGTCGGTAACCGACTTACTCGGATGGCACAAGCCTCTGGCCCACATCACCGTCCACATCCCGGTCGGCAGGATTTTGACCTCCTCCCACACCGCCTTCCATTCATCCAACTCTCCCGGCTTCAAGGCGGTGAGCTCCTTCATGAGCACCTTGCTCACGTAGCCGTCGTAGACGGAGTACGCAATCGCGTGCTCGTAGGCCAGCTCCATCTTGTCGCGGGACTTGCCGATGTACCGATTCTGGTTCTTGAACTTCATCTCGCCCACCCACCCCTGCCCGTCGCCAGACCTGTCTCGGCGGATGCCATGACCCCGGCGTCCATGCTCTTCCCCCTCCCCCACCTCCTCCTCCTCCTCCTCCTCCTTCTCCTCCTCCTCCTTCTTCTTTGCCGACTTACCCTTGCCGCCCGTCTTCCGTGCCGGCTTCTTCCCTTTGTCTTCCGCCATCTCCTTCCCCGCCGACACCGCCTTCCCTTTCCCGGTGTCGTCCTTACCCTTCCGTCCCGCATTTCCCTCGGCGACAACACCCGTTGCGGCCGTCGGCTCCGCCGAACCCCCTGTGTTGGTCGCCGACGGCTCCGCATGCGCCGTGTCCACGATGGCCAGTGCCGGGGCATGCTCGGGCCGTTTTGCTGCCTCAAACTGGGCCAGGACGGATTCGAGGGCGGCATGCCTGTCGGCGCGGCCGCCGGTGGCTAGCGCTGCACTGACTCCCCTCTCCGCCGCCAGATCGACCACAGCTGCTCCTGGGGAGGATGCGGTCGCATTTACAGCCGTCGGCGTCGCGCTTGTGCCGGGTTCCGGCTGAGTGACTGGTGGAGCTGCCGCTTTGCGTGCGCCTATATGGGCGCGAAGAAACGCGGACTTGGGGTCCGCAGGCGGTGGGGCGGCGACCGGCCGCGCGGCAGATTGGGCATCGGACGGTTTGCCGGCAACGTGCGGAGTGACGGAGCGACGTGCTATTTCTGCGAGGCCGGCGTCGACCACATGATGCTGCTGCGCGCCCGGGCGGTGGGACTCCATGCGGTGGAGCAACACCCTAAGCGCGTTACTCCCGGGTGGCCCCTGTGCCGAAGCAGCCTTCGCGTCGACCTTGGCGGCAGTAGGGGCTGCTGGAGCTGGAGGGGCCGCACGGGCCTCCCCATGCTTCCCCGCACCTGTCTGGCCGGCGGGCCCGGTGGTTGCCGCAGGCGGGTTACATGGTGTCGACTTGGTGGTTCCGGCGACCGTACCAGAAGCAGCCTTCGACTTGGTGCTTCCGGCGACCGTAGCAGAAGCAGCCTTCGACTTGCCGGTTCCGGGGACTGAAGCAGAGGCAGCCTTCGCCGTGCCGGTTCCGGCGACCGTAGCAGACGCAGACATCGCCTTGCCCTTGGCCGGCACCGCGTCAGACGGCCCCTGGGTGGTTCCGGCGCCTCCGACTTTCGCCGCCTGGGCAGTGGGGGCCGCGTCCTTCCCACCGCTCGCCTGAGGATGGGTCTGCTCGGCGTCCAAAGGCGGGCCAGGCGGTGCATCGACGTTAGCCGCGATCCCGTCGGCAGGTCTCCCGTCCGCCCCCCCGCTTCCGCTTCCCTTGCTGGTCGACCCTCCCCTCACCTTCCACCCCTTCGCCTTCAGCATGTCGACCACGCTCCGCGCAGGAGGCTTCGTGACGCGGCTCCCGTCCGATCCCTTGCTCCGCTTCGAGCTCTCCTTGTCGTCACCGTCGCCCGACCTCTTCAGGCCTTGCTTGTCGGCCGCCCTCTGTTGCGCGGCGTCGGCGTCATTGGCCGAAGGCGACGAACCACGTCGACCAGGCGCCACCGTGCCGATCATCTCGGTCAACATCTTCATCCCGGACGCAACGAACGACTGCTCGGTGGCCTCCGTCACCGTCTTCATGATGTCGGCCTTGAACGACTTCAAGAGCTCTTCCGGGAGGGCGGGCGGCGTGGGCTGAGGCGGTGGCGGCGGCTGCACGGGGAGCCTGCCGGTCACAGCTGTGGCGATGTTGACAGCTGCGGCGGACAACTGGCTCGTGATGTGCTCCCGCAAATCCTCCTGCGCATCGCCCACCACCTTGTCGACGTGGTCGGCCAAGGTGGTGACCGCTAAGGCGCGTTGATACGCCACATTTCCCTCCGGGTTGTCGAAGTCCTCCAGCCACGCCGACGCCTGTTCCGCGAAGGTCTTCATCGTCTTCCACGCCTCGTCGAAGCTGCCGGTGATGTTGCCCGTGATGGTCTGCGACATGGCCTCCGCCGCGTTTCGCAGCTGTTCCGCCGCATACTTCTCGGTGTCGTCGACCTGCTCGGCCAACTCCTTCAGGTGGTCGACGAGTCCACGTAGCCCAACAAAAAACGCGTCCAGCCGAGCCCGTTCCGCATCGAGCAAACCCTGCAGCCGAGCGTTCTCCGCCCTCAACAGCAAGTTCTCCCGTCGCAGCTCCTCGACGTCGTCCGTTGCAGGGCCCTGCCGACCAGATGCGTCCCCCGTCTCCTGCACGCCCGCGATGTTCGCACCTTCGCCGGCGTCGACCGACACCTTCGCACCTTCGCATGCCGCCTCCTCCTGGCCCGTTTCCGTCGTTGCCTCCACGCCGACCTCATCCTTTTCCTTCCCCTCACCTGCCGACCCCGTAGCATTACCCGCATCGCCATCCTCCGCTTCCTCGTTCTTCTCGTGCCGTCTGCGTACTCCAGCTCGTACTCCACCTCCTCCTCCACCCCTTCCTCGTGCGCCGCCTCGTCCTTCCCAGCCACCACCTCCACCACCTCGTCGTTCTCGTCCTTGCCCTCGTCATCCTCCTCGTCCTCATTCTCCTTCTCCCCTTCGTCCTCCTCCTCCCCCTCCGACTCCGACTCTGAGCCAGAGTCCGTCAACTCCTCTTCCTTCCTCCCTGCGCCTGCCGCATCGTCGCCTAGTCCTCCACCGGTTCCTCCTTCCGCGGACACCGGCAAGTCCTCCTGGAGCTGGGCGGCAGCTGCTGCTTGGGGCGCCGTCTGACTTTCCGCGCCGTCGTCATCAATCGCACCCTCGGCGGGTCCGTCGGCGCCTGAAGTCGGCGCCGCTATCCGGTTTTCGGCGACACGATGGCAGATGTAATCGACCATGCTATCACGGAGCGACCTCAAACCCGCGACCTTGATGTTCTCGATGCTCACAGCGCTCCGAGCCTTGTCGCCCGTCAGCAGGCCGATCTGCTTGGCCACCCACCCGAACGACGTCGCGGCAAGCATGCCGGTGCCGACATGCCCGTCCGACACTGTGCCCGGCACTTTCTGCATACAGCACAGGCAAGCGCGGCACAATATGAGCGGTGCACACAGATACGCGCAGACCGTAGCGGAGCCTAAACGTGCAACTCACGTCGCGGATAGGGTCGTCGCAGTCTGCAAGCCTTTCCTCCACCACTGCTTGTGATGGAGGCGCCCCGTCCCACTTCCTACCGGGACGCCCCAGCTCGGCCAGGGCAGCCGTGCGGAATAGCCTGGAGCAACGTAGTGGAGAGGAGGTCAGCATGAGATTCCCTGTGTCGGCGACTAACAAACTCGACAGCGACGACTATTCACAACTTACTTCAGGACGCGGACGGCCTCGTCGCGGTGCTTCCCCTTTCCGGTGTGCGGGTCGATGTGCCGGATCGATGTCCTGCAGACCTGTCCCTCAGCCTTCAGCACATCTCCTGGGTAGAGGATGGCTATGACGCTGCAGTGTGACCCTGGAAGCGGGCCGCCGCTGCACACGCAATAAACGACGGCGTCGACCACAGCATAAGGCGTTGATGCGGCCGACACTGAAAAACGATGACTGGACAACGGGGTAACAGCTCACGTCGATTTCAGCGGGATAGCGGCGATGTCGGCGTCGAAAGCCTTAGCAAAGCAAGAATGGTCGGCGGCTTTCATGGCCGATCGAAGCGGGCCGATCCCGAGCACCCACAACCGCAGGTCGTCCCGCCCAATGTCAAACCAAGCGAACCTGAGCGCACGAGTGAGCACGAGGGATGAGAACATGGCTGGTAAGCAAACGCTGCCATGTCGACGTGCTTCGTCAAACGCGCCCGCCGACGTACGTCGGAAGACAATCGGCGACAGTGCGCCCTACTAGGGTTGGTCGGCACCGACATCTACCCTATTCGACTACCACGACTACCCGCGTCCCACCTGATGGCGAGTCCAAAGCATCTCTCGGTGAACTCTTTCTTTTGGTCGCGAAGGACGGCGTAGTCGTTCCACTCTAAGGTGAAGCTGAGACCGCGACCCATTTGCACCCGAAGGGGAAAGTCGGCCGATGTCGGCGCCGACTTATCGGCGGCGGAGATCGGCTCCATATCTGTCGACTAAGAAAAGAGGCGGACGGCTCTGGTAGGAGAGAGGGGAGGCGCAGAGCTGTCAATGTTTGAAAATCCGAAAGAGATGCCGAAAATGCGGAGCGAGGCCACCTTCCACAGAGAAAAGGAGGTGGTGCCCCCCCCCCCCCCCCCCCCCCCCCCAGGCCCGTTCAGCATCGCCCAAGGGTGCAGGGCCTGGCTCGGCAGTGCTCGGAGGGCGGATGCGCAAGTGGCACAGGTGGTCCGTCTCCGCCTTGGTAGAGCGTCGACTTCGCGTCCATTGGCCCAGGTCGGCGAGGGGACGCACGAATCCTCCTGCGCGCGGAGCGACGCTACAATCGACACGTGTCGATTTCGTAGCGGTTCGCGACGATAGAATGCATGCGATGGGAGAGAATTTATTTCCGCCTCGACAAAAATTTCGCATGCGCCCGATGCGAAGCCACGGGCGAACACGTGGCGCCACCGCTGCGAATCGCGAAATTGTCGAGTGTCCCGAGGGGGGCCCGTATTTTCGCACGGCCCTCGCCTGCCCGTCCGGGCAGGCCGCGATGGGTTACTAGGACCTCGCGGGCAGGCAGCACGTGTGGGCTGCCTTCGCGCGAGGGTAACTTTCCCTCGCGCGAGGGGTCGCCAGCTCGCCGACCCCGCCCGGTAACGTGGGTCGCTGTTCAATTTCGGAGGGCGGCGGTCGTGCGCTCGGCCCAGCCCTGGGCCAGGCTGGCGGGCCCGCACGCGCGTCAGTCGCCCGCCTCGTCAGACCCGGCTCCGACGACCCCTCCTGTCGACACTGGCAAAACCGCTCCGACGACCGAATTGCGCTGAGGCTTTCGGGATGATATACCTCAGCGGACGAAAAATGCCGCCCAATTTCGCGGTTCAAAAGGGACAAGGCCCCCCCTCGGGATTGACGACCTCCCGACGACCTCCGAGCTCCCAGACGGGCCCAAATGGCGTCCCAGGGGCCTCGGGAGCCCTCGGGATTGTCGACAATCCGACGACACCCGGTTTCGCTGGGAGATTCCTGAGAAGGAAATCTCAGCGGACAAAATTCGCCACGTCGAGCCGCGGATGCCTCCACGCGGACCAATAGGGAGGTGCGAGACCCGCCCCACCGATTACAAGGCTGCCACGACGTGGGCGTCGTGGCCACGCGTCGCTCTAGCGGTGCAAACCCACGCGGCGCAAATCGGACCGTCCACATCTTCACTGTCTTGTGGCATCGCGGGTTGCCAGGGAAGTCGGTGTCGACCAGATCCATGTCTGCTTGCCTTAATTTCTTCACTGGGGCGCCAATGGCGGTCGCAAGCCGCGTAACGCACGCCCATTCCGACGTGGAATGGCACTGGCTTACGCCCCTTCCGTGCAGCGCGGCGCCCAACTAGCCATGCCTGGCACGTGCCACGTCGGACAGTGCGCCGCCTTTACGAGAACACATGCACGGCGGCGGATGCATTGGGGTGTGCGTGACGCGCGGCAGCATCGTAGTCGCTCAGGACCATACCCGTCCGTTGCCCCGCGAGCCTGCTCATTCGCTTGTCCGTTCCTGCGTTCCTTCCTGCTCTCTCGTTCCCTTGGAATTTTCAGCTGCCAGTCTGTCATCGCGCCTGTAGGTTGCTCGACAGCCGATTGTTCGTCCAAGTCGGCACAGGTTCCACGTCGCGAGTCGACGTAGCAAGTCGGCGACGCATGGCCAGAGGTCGCCCGAGGGCCCAACAGCCGCAACCCATCCCACCCCCCGCCGACTCGGTAGACGCCGACATCAAGGCGCAGCTGGAACAGCTTGAACTCGAAGCCGAGCTAGACGCGCTTGAGCGAGAATTCGAAGAAGACGAAGACCGCCTGACGCTTCGCGCGTTCGCCGCACCCGTCACACAGTACCGTCTCTGGTTTACCACCCCCCGCGATCTCGAGGTCGACGCCGAGATAGACGTTATTGAGGGACATCTCGAGGACGACCGCCGCGCAACTGTTCGGGCGTACACCGCACCCGTGACTCAGTACCGGCAGTGGTTTAACAACCTCCCCAACGCACACGGACGACGGTAGAGCAGCAGACGTGTACCGACATGGCCGACGTCGACATGTCCGACGCTAGGCCATCCACCGACCAGGGTCCGACGACCACCGACCGCAGTCCGACATCCACCGACCACAGTCCGACACCTACCGACGAAGACAACCTGCAGTTACTCTACGATCTGGACAAGCTGACGCAGATCCCAGAAGGGGTGTTCACCACGGACGTTCCTGTCAGAGGTCCACTGGTGATCCCCGATTGATCCTAGGGAAGGGTTACAGGCATGGCGGCCTGGGGGGTTATGGGCGCACTCACCCGCTACACAAACAAGCCCTTTTATCCCAGTGGTTAGTGGCTGGGATTCTGACATGGTATCAGAGCGAAGGTCTCGGGTTCGAATCCCGGTGTGTGCACCTCGGGCATCCCAGTGCGGGGGGGTGTCAGAGGTCCACTGGTGATCCCCGATTGATCCTAGGGAAGGGTTACAGGCATGGCGGCCTGGGGGGTTATGGGCGCACTCACCCGCTACACAAACAAGCCCTTTTATCCCAGTGGTTAGTGGCTGGGATTCTGACAGTTCCGCCACCGCCGATAGGGAAGTTCAACAAGAAGAAAAAACAGACTCCTACGCAAAATGGTCGGCCAGGTACCTCGTCGGCACCGGCCGCCCCTGGAAACCAGGTCGATGACGAGGACGCGGAGGAGGAGGGGGGGGAGGAGGAGGAGGAGGAGGAGGAGGAGGAGGAGGAGGAGGAGGAGGAGGAGGAGGAGGAGGAGGAGGAGGAGGAGGAGGAAAGCGATGACGAAAACGACGACCGTCCACCTCGTAGCTCTAATCCGCGCACCTTGGACGAACGACTCAGGCGGGAACTGCAATTCATCGACATACTGCTCGACCAGGACGAGGACGAGGACCAGGAGAACTTGGCGGTGCCGCGCGAACAGTGGAGAGCGGCAGACTTCGTCGAGGAGGACATGGTTTACGCGTGCGTAGACGTGCTCGTCATGGACGCTCTTCGCCACCTGCAAACCGTGGAGAGGAACAGCACGCTGAGGCAGTACACCTCGTGGATCTATCACTACAAGAGGTGGGCGGCGAAGATGTTGAAGCAAATTCGCAACAAGCTTCCGCAGGAGTACAGGCTTAAGCACGTCGACGAGATAGGGCACTACATCCGGGAGAACAAGAAGAAAAACTGGGACCAAGAGGCCGATGTCCCCCGGTCTCACGTGTGGCTGCACGGCCCTAGGGTCACCAAGGACCGGCTTCGCGCATACGTGAAGTACATGATTCGGGAGTTGAACCTCGATGCCGAGTCCGGCAAGGGGGCCGACAACGCCACAGGAACACAGCCGGTGCAGTCGACAACGGTACACACGCTCCTCGGGCGCATAAAGGCATGCCAGATGGCGGCGAGAGTGGAGGCGACGCTCTTCCGGGAGACGGAACTGAGCATCATGAGGGAGATATCGGTGGTCAGGTCGGAGGTGCGGTACATGATCCGCACCAAGAACGAGCGGGACATCAAGTGAGTTTATGTTTTAACCTACGTCGACCACTCTCCTGCTGTCATGATCTTTGTCGACGCCGCCCTAAATACCCCTTGCCCATGGCATTGTTGGCAGGAACTGCGCCGATCGCCGTCGCGGAACCATCGGCGATACCTACACCGCCGAACAGTTCCGCCAGATCATGTTCAGGGTGCTGCCGGCGTGGGCGGCCAAGGCGTGGAACCCGCGGGGTACGGGTCCTTCGCAGACGCTGTGGAGGTTTCTTCTCTTGAAGGTGCTCACGCTACTCTCCCACCACTCTCTCCTGCGCGGTGCAAGCATCCGCGAGATCACTCTCCCCGACATCTTCTTGTACCGACTGGCGAGCACCTCCTCGATCAACCCGGAGAACCAGCCGGTCGTCATGGTCATCGGAGCGCGGAACTCGAAGACGTCCAAGGATGCTCGTCTGCAGCAGAGCTACGCCGCGCGGCACCTCGAAGCGGAGTTGTGCGCCGTCGGCGAGACGGGCCTGTGGTTGCACTTCGTCCTCGATCAGATCGGTCAGTTTCACGGCGTCCGCCTCATTCCGCCGGTCGACACCAGCACACGCGCTAGCTGGTACAAGAAACACCTGTTCTTCGCCAAAAACGACACCGACCAGGGTGAGCTCTCTGCGGCAACCCACCAACGCTGGACGCGGCAGTTGTGGGACACCAACAAGGTGTTCTGCAAGAGGAACGTGCACGCCGCTCGAGCGGGCGGGGCCCAGGAGCTGGCTATCGACGGCACGCCGCGCGCCGAGATCGCGGAGCTTGGACACTGGGCTCTCGACAAGATGACGCGAGCGTACATCACCGCCATTCCGGTGGGGGTGGTGATGAAGAAGGCCGGGTACTCGGGGTACAAGCAGGACTACTTCTTGGGTCGGAGCAGGGTGCCGCCCTCCGAGAAGCTCCTGAAGCTCCTCGCCGAGCACATATTCCCCGGCGTCGACGACATGCTGAAGGAGGTATGTTAGTCGACGCCCTCGTAGCTTGCCGCCGAGTCGTGTTGCCGACCTTTTCTGAGCTCCCCGTACCCGTGACAAATGGCAGGCGGAAGGGAAGGCTGTCGAGGGGTCAGACGCCGACAAAGCCGCGGTGCACTTCTGGCGCACTCTCCTGATGCTGCGCCGCATCGTCGCCGAGGACCTAGCGGTGAAGCTAGTCCGCACACCATGGCACCCGTACGTCCAAGGTTCCAAGCTCTGCCGGATCCCCCTCTTCCAGCACTGGGCGAAACGGGTGGAGAGCGTCGACACCGAGACGATCAACAAGCGTCGGGACCCGACCCAAATACAGCCAGAGGTAAGTCGACGATACTGTCGCCGACGTGCAGTAGGGAGTGTAAACCAAACCACCGCGGCCCTCACGTTTTTCTCCTCCTACTGCTGCAGGAAATCTCGGTGCGCATGGACACCGAGTACTACAACATGTCCCTCATGGCCCAGATGCAGAAGGAGAAAGAGCGCGCCGCGAACGAGAAGATTGATCTCCTAGAGGAGATCGAGAAGCGCGACGACGCCATCGCTGGGCTCACCGCCGAGCTAGCCCGTGTCACCGAGGCACTCCGCTTGTCGGAAGCACGGAGAGTGCCGGTGGCCCCGCCGTCGGCTCCCGCGCAGACTCCCAGCGATGGTGGATCGGCGGAGTCGGCCAGCACGGGGGCTGGAGCCAAGAAAGGGGATGACAAACCCCCGCCCCCCCCACAGACGGACGAGGAGGCCAGTTACGAGCTCAACGTGGTGCAACCGTGGCGGGAGGCAAAGACTGTGAGGGACGCTTGGCGCCTATGGAATTCCGCCACCGCCAATGACACCCGTCGCCTTTGCGACAGGGTCGCCGAGAAGGGATTCGTCGCCCGCCACACCCTCCTCACAGGAAAGGGCGCGACGCAGGGTGGGCTCGACACGAAAGTGCGACGCATGATGAGGGCCATGGATGCGGTGCGCCAGCTACGCGCGAGCGACGGCGACGCCGACACCGAGGCCGTGGTCGACGCACTGAACAGGATCGCGGCACCGGGCATTGGGACCTTCTGTGACGCCCTCACGGTGCTCAACCCGAAAACGGAACCGATGAAGTCGAAAGAGCCTGGCATGGGAGTCAAGGGGCTGGGCCCCAAGGTTGTCTCTAAGCTTCGCCTCGCCTGTGGGCTTGTCGCGCTCAATCTGAAGCCGGCCGAATGGCTCGAAGCCCTCTTTCCAGACACCTGGGAGGAGCAGATGCCGAAGACCAAGGCCGACCTGGCGAAGCCGACCGCACCTGCCAAGTCGACAGCACCGGCCAAGCCGACCGCACCCGTGCAGCGTCCTCCGACCAAGCGCAAGAAGACGGCATGAAGTCCCTCATGGGATATGCGTCTGCGTAGATTTTGGCAGACTTCAACAGCCCCCCCCCCCCCCCCCCCCCCCCCCCCCGCCCCATCCGACTGATGTTTCTGGTAGTTTGTAAACATCCCACATCAATGTCCATGCGAACCGATGTTGCCGATGTTGGTTGTTTGTCGCCCAGTACAGTAGGTGTGGCTAAAAATCACTGTCGACGCCGACAACCATGTTTCTGCACTGCTTATCGCCGACGTATCATGTGCATATCATGTCGACATATGCGCCGACTTGGCTCATCGGGTGATATTCGGCTAGCATGGTTATACAGGGACACAGAGTTGTTAGCCCAATATTGAAACGAACAGCACTTGAACAAAAAAAGGCCACATTTAACAAATCTACGCCAAAATCGGCGCCGTCCATACCAATATAGTACACACCCTAGCAACCTAGCAAACATCATTCCGCCGACTACGCATCCGTACTACCTCTTCCTCTTGCTGCCCTTGGCCTGCTTGACCTTCTCCCCCTTCCTCCCCCTGTGATCCAAGTCGTACTCCATCTTCGCGTCACACGGCACATCGATGCCCTCCGCTTTGAGCTTGGGCCCGTCGAGGGGGCACATTCCCCAGAACGCCAAGGTCTCGACCGTCGCTCTTGCGATCATGTCGGCCTCGTCTTCCTCAATGCCCGCCTCGAAGGCCCTGGCCACTCCATAGCGCTGCAGCTCTGGCGCGACGTTATGTGCAACCTCCCCCGCGGGAGCCTGCCGAGTGCGTGCGTGTTCGATAACCACGTGCATGACCATCGCGAAGTGCTCGCCCCTCTCCTTCCCCGCACCTGCCAGAATCGCGGCCGCCTTACCTTCGCCCACAGCACCGAGCACCGACGCCGGCGTCGACATGTAGCACCAGAGGGCGCATGCAGAGGCCGCTAACGCCTGGGCCCCCATCTGCACCTTCTCGTCCGCCTTCCTGTCCGCGCCTTCCATATCCGTCGTCTCTCCCGCGGTCGCCTCCGCGCTCCCGTCGACCTTCCCATACGCGACTCTCGCCGCGACCTTTCCATACGCCGCGCACATCGACACGCGATTCACCATCGCCGACATGTTTGCATTTGTCTCCGCCCTGCCTTCCTCCGTGTCCTCGATGATGGGGAACCACATCGCCGGCCAGAGCACGCCATGAAGCGCATCACCCGAACCTGCGTACCCACGGAACCTGCCGAGTATGTCGTCGAACCTGCCGAGCGAACACGTACACATAGAATTAATGACACCGACTTGGTCGTCAAAACACGGCATGTCGGTAACCGACTTACTCGGATGGCACAAGCCTCTGGCCCACATCACCGTCCACATCCCGGTCGGCAGGATTTTGACCTCCTCCCACACCGCCTTCCATTCATCCAACTCTCCCGGCTTCAAGGCGGTGAGCTCCTTCATGAGCACCTTGCTCACGTAGCCGTCGTAGACGGAGTACGCAATCGCGTGCTCGTAGGCCAGCTCCATCTTGTCGCGGGACTTGCCGATGTACCGATTCTGGTTCTTGAACTTCATCTCGCCCACCCACCCCTGCCCGTCGCCAGACCTGTCTCGGCGGATGCCATGACCCCGGCGTCCATGCTCTTCCCCTCCCCCACCTCCTCCTCCTCCTCCTCCTCCTCCTCCTTCTCCTCCTCCTCCTTCTTCTTTGCCGACTTACCCTTGCCGCCCGTCTTCCGTGCCGGCTTCTTCCCTTTGTCTTCCGCCATCTCCTTCCCCGCCGACACCGCCTTCCCTTTCCCGGTGTCGTCCTTACCCTTCCGTCCCGCATTTCCCTCGGCGACAACACCCGTTGCGGCCGTCGGCTCCGCCGAACCCCCTGTGTTGGTCGCCGACGGCTCCGCATGCGCCGTGTCCACGATGGCCAGTGCCGGGGCATGCTCGGGCCGTTTTGCTGCCTCAAACTGGGCCAGGACGGATTCGAGGGCGGCATGCCTGTCGGCGCGGCCGCCGGTGGCTAGCGCTGCACTGACTCCCCTCTCCGCCGCCAGATCGACCACAGCTGCTCCTGGGGAGGATGCGGTCGCATTTACAGCCGTCGGCGTCGCGCTTGTGCCGGGTTCCGGCTGAGTGACTGGTGGAGCTGCCGCTTTGCGTGCGCCTATATGGGCGCGAAGAAACGCGGACTTGGGGTCCGCAGGCGGTGGGGCGGCGACCGGCCGCGCGGCAGATTGGGCATCGGACGGTTTGCCGGCAACGTGCGGAGTGACGGAGCGACGTGCTATTTCTGCGAGGCCGGCGTCGACCACATGATGCTGCTGCGCGCCCGGGCGGTGGGACTCCATGCGGTGGAGCAACACCCTAAGCGCGTTACTCCCGGGTGGCCCCTGTGCCGAAGCAGCCTTCGCGTCGACCTTGGCGGCAGTAGGGGCTGCTGGAGCTGGAGGGGCCGCACGGGCCTCCCCATGCTTCCCCGCACCTGTCTGGCCGGCGGGCCCGGTGGTTGCCGCAGGCGGGTTACATGGTGTCGACTTGGTGGTTCCGGCGACCGTACCAGAAGCAGCCTTCGACTTGGTGCTTCCGGCGACCGTAGCAGAAGCAGCCTTCGACTTGCCGGTTCCGGGGACTGAAGCAGAGGCAGCCTTCGCCGTGCCGGTTCCGGCGACCGTAGCAGACGCAGACATCGCCTTGCCCTTGGCCGGCACCGCGTCAGACGGCCCCTGGGTGGTTCCGGCGCCTCCGACTTTCGCCGCCTGGGCAGTGGGGGCCGCGTCCTTCCCACCGCTCGCCTGAGGATGGGTCTGCTCGGCGTCCAAAGGCGGGCCAGGCGGTGCATCGACGTTAGCCGCGATCCCGTCGGCAGGTCTCCCGTCCGCCCCCCCGCTTCCGCTTCCCTTGCTGGTCGACCCTCCCCTCACCTTCCACCCCTTCGCCTTCAGCATGTCGACCACGCTCCGCGCAGGAGGCTTCGTGACGCGGCTCCCGTCCGATCCCTTGCTCCGCTTCGAGCTCTCCTTGTCGTCACCGTCGCCCGACCTCTTCAGGCCTTGCTTGTCGGCCGCCCTCTGTTGCGCGGCGTCGGCGTCATTGGCCGAAGGCGACGAACCACGTCGACCAGGCGCCACCGTGCCGATCATCTCGGTCAACATCTTCATCCCGGACGCAACGAACGACTGCTCGGTGGCCTCCGTCACCGTCTTCATGATGTCGGCCTTGAACGACTTCAAGAGCTCTTCCGGGAGGGCGGGCGGCGTGGGCTGAGGCGGTGGCGGCGGCTGCACGGGGAGCCTGCCGGTCACAGCTGTGGCGATGTTGACAGCTGCGGCGGACAACTGGCTCGTGATGTGCTCCCGCAAATCCTCCTGCGCATCGCCCACCACCTTGTCGACGTGGTCGGCCAAGGTGGTGACCGCTAAGGCGCGTTGATACGCCACATTTCCCTCCGGGTTGTCGAAGTCCTCCAGCCACGCCGACGCCTGTTCCGCGAAGGTCTTCATCGTCTTCCACGCCTCGTCGAAGCTGCCGGTGATGTTGCCCGTGATGGTCTGCGACATGGCCTCCGCCGCGTTTCGCAGCTGTTCCGCCGCATACTTCTCGGTGTCGTCGACCTGCTCGGCCAACTCCTTCAGGTGGTCGACGAGTCCACGTAGCCCAACAAAAAACGCGTCCAGCCGAGCCCGTTCCGCATCGAGCAAACCCTGCAGCCGAGCGTTCTCCGCCCTCAACAGCAAGTTCTCCCGTCGCAGCTCCTCGACGTCGTCCGTTGCAGGGCCCTGCCGACCAGATGCGTCCCCCGTCTCCTGCACGCCCGCGATGTTCGCACCTTCGCCGGCGTCGACCGACACCTTCGCACCTTCGCATGCCGCCTCCTCCTGGCCCGTTTCCGTCGTTGCCTCCACGCCGACCTCATCCTTTTCCTTCCCCTCACCTGCCGACCCCGTAGCATTACCCGCATCGCCATCCTCCGCTTCCTCGTTCTTCTCGTGCCGTCTGCGTACTCCAGCTCGTACTCCACCTCCTCCTCCACCCCTTCCTCGTGCGCCGCCTCGTCCTTCCCAGCCACCACCTCCACCACCTCGTCGTTCTCGTCCTTGCCCTCGTCATCCTCCTCGTCCTCATTCTCCTTCTCCCCTTCGTCCTCCTCCTCCCCCTCCGACTCCGACTCTGAGCCAGAGTCCGTCAACTCCTCTTCCTTCCTCCCTGCGCCTGCCGCATCGTCGCCTAGTCCTCCACCGGTTCCTCCTTCCGCGGACACCGGCAAGTCCTCCTGGAGCTGGGCGGCAGCTGCTGCTTGGGGCGCCGTCTGACTTTCCGCGCCGTCGTCATCAATCGCACCCTCGGCGGGTCCGTCGGCGCCTGAAGTCGGCGCCGCTATCCGGTTTTCGGCGACACGATGGCAGATGTAATCGACCATGCTATCACGGAGCGACCTCAAACCCGCGACCTTGATGTTCTCGATGCTCACAGCGCTCCGAGCCTTGTCGCCCGTCAGCAGGCCGATCTGCTTGGCCACCCACCCGAACGACGTCGCGGCAAGCATGCCGGTGCCGACATGCCCGTCCGACACTGTGCCCGGCACTTTCTGCATACAGCACAGGCAAGCGCGGCACAATATGAGCGGTGCACACAGATACGCGCAGACCGTAGCGGAGCCTAAACGTGCAACTCACGTCGCGGATAGGGTCGTCGCAGTCTGCAAGCCTTTCCTCCACCACTGCTTGTGATGGAGGCGCCCCGTCCCACTTCCTACCGGGACGCCCCAGCTCGGCCAGGGCAGCCGTGCGGAATAGCCTGGAGCAACGTAGTGGAGAGGAGGTCAGCATGAGATTCCCTGTGTCGGCGACTAACAAACTCGACAGCGACGACTATTCACAACTTACTTCAGGACGCGGACGGCCTCGTCGCGGTGCTTCCCCTTTCCGGTGTGCGGGTCGATGTGCCGGATCGATGTCCTGCAGACCTGTCCCTCAGCCTTCAGCACATCTCCTGGGTAGAGGATGGCTATGACGCTGCAGTGTGACCCTGGAAGCGGGCCGCCGCTGCACACGCAATAAACGACGGCGTCGACCACAGCATAAGGCGTTGATGCGGCCGACACTGAAAAACGATGACTGGACAACGGGGTAACAGCTCACGTCGATTTCAGCGGGATAGCGGCGATGTCGGCGTCGAAAGCCTTAGCAAAGCAAGAATGGTCGGCGGCTTTCATGGCCGATCGAAGCGGGCCGATCCCGAGCACCCACAACCGCAGGTCGTCCCGCCCAATGTCAAACCAAGCGAACCTGAGCGCACGAGTGAGCACGAGGGATGAGAACATGGCTGGTAAGCAAACGCTGCCATGTCGACGTGCTTCGTCAAACGCGCCCGCCGACGTACGTCGGAAGACAATCGGCGACAGTGCGCCCTACTAGGGTTGGTCGGCACCGACATCTACCCTATTCGACTACCGCGACTACCCGCGTCCCACCTGATGGCGAGTCCAAAGCATCTCTCGGTGAACTCTTTCTTTTGGTCGCGAAGGACGGCGTAGTCGTTCCACTCTAAGGTGAAGCTGAGACCGCGACCCATTTGCACCCGAAGGGGAAAGTCGGCCGATGTCGGCGCCGACTTATCGGCGGCGGAGATCGGCTCCATATCTGTCGACTAAGAAAAGAGGCGGACGGCTCTGGTAGGAGAGAGGGGAGGCGCAGAGCTGTCAATGTTTGAAAATCCGAAAGAGATGCCGAAAATGCGGAGCGAGGCCACCTTCCACAGAGAAAAGGAGGTGGTGCCCCCCCCCCCCCCCCCCCCCCCCCCCCCCCAGGCCCGTTCAGCATCGCCCAAGGGTGCAGGGCCTGGCTCGGCAGTGCTCGGAGGGCGGATGCGCAAGTGGCACAGGTGGTCCGTCTCCGCCTTGGTAGAGCGTCGACTTCGCGTCCATTGGCCCAGGTCGGCGAGGGGACGCACGAATCCTCCTGCGCGCGGAGCGACGCTACAATCGACACGTGTCGATTTCGTAGCGGTTCGCGACGATAGAATGCATGCGATGGGAGAGAATTTATTTCCGCCTCGACAAAAATTTCGCATGCGCCCGATGCGAAGCCACGGGCGAACACGTGGCGCCACCGCTGCGAATCGCGAAATTGTCGAGTGTCCCGAGGGGGGCCCGTATTTTCGCACGGCCCTCGCCTGCCCGTCCGGGCAGGCCGCGATGGGTTACTAGGACCTCGCGGGCAGGCAGCACGTGTGGGCTGCCTTCGCGCGAGGGTAACTTTCCCTCGCGCGAGGGGTCGCCAGCTCGCCGACCCCGCCCGGTAACGTGGGTCGCTGTTCAATTTCGGAGGGCGGCGGTCGTGCGCTCGGCCCAGCCCTGGGCCAGGCTGGCGGGCCCGCACGCGCGTCAGTCGCCCGCCTCGTCAGACCCGGCTCCGACGACCCCTCCTGTCGACACTGGCAAAACCGCTCCGACGACCGAATTGCGCTGAGGCTTTCGAGTGGGAAACTAGCTGAGGGGCCAACCGCGCTCCACGTCGACCCCAATTTCTGGCGAGTTGATGGTAGTAAACAGCTGCAGACGACGGATTACGATGGTCAAAGTGCTGGCACCGAAATATCGCTGTACGCGAGTGTTACCACCTGTAACTGTTACAACAATACACTTTTCCATCGAGTATTCTAAACCGCAATCAATTATAATATGAAATAGTTGGATTATGTTCGTAACTTGGTAACACGACTTGTAACTGAATGAACATAATCTGGTAACCAGATTACCATGGTGAGGTTACAACAGAACAGGCCTTTCACAAAATGACAATAATAGCTAGTATAGAACATTAGGTTGCAAAACTCCGAATTAAATTAGAGAACTACAATAATTAGAAACACTACAAACTGATGGTCACATTAGCGCTACAAAAACAAATCTACTGCATACAAGAAACCACTACAGAAACACGCGCTCCCACCCCTCAATGAGAATACGCACAGACCCAGAACCAAGCACCAACCCCTTGGGCTCATCACGCTGCAAGATCGTGGGGTTGTTCTGCATCGCATCATGAAGCGCCGCCACGACCACATTAGTCTTGGCGCGGACGTAGTTGCTGTTGGTCGAGCCTACCCCACCCAGGGAAGGCTGGCCCCTCCCTGGCCTGAAGCATTGCAGGGGGGCTTCTACCTGCACGTATGAGTGGGGAAATCGTTAGATTGTGAGCGGGACAGGTGTGACTAACACACAGAAAAGCAACAAACTTACCACGACGCACAGGTACGCCAGCATAGGGATCTTCAGCAGCACCAGGTTGGAGGTAACAGTGGAAAACGCAGCAAGGGCTGCCTTCTCAAAGGCGATGTTGGCGAAGGGAATACCTTCGCCATTGACATGCCATGAATATCCAAGTACAGCTGCACATAGCAGAACATGAAAATTTGTCAATTTCTTTTAAAATAAAGACGTTAAAACATTAAAACCGAGCTTCTTACCATGCCTGAAGTCTTCCTGCCACTTCTGAAACGAGCGCTTCTTTGACGGGATGATCGTCTCCACCGCTAGCAACGGCCACTTGCTCTCATCCAACAACCCACCCGCACCCCAGGCATAGAAACGAACTTTCTTGTGCGTGTTGCTGCGTTTTGTTTTGATTACCTTCATCGCGAGCTTCTCAAACTCGATTCTGCTGCCAGTCGCATAGAAATACTCGTCGCGATTCACTCCACACAGTCGGTACTTCGTGATGAGCTGAGGTTGGAAGACTTCCCATGTTGGGAAGAACTCCATGCACTCCACTGGCGCGTCTGTTATCAGCCACGTGAACGTCTCGAGAGCCTTTACCTGCAGTCGGGATGAAATGGTAAACAGCAGAACATATTAAAAAGCAGATGATTGCAGTACGACCCTCTAAATACAAGCACACACAATTACTGAACACACCGACGGTCAAACGCGAATGTTCCAATCCAAGAAACGAAACTTACCGCGAACTCCTTCGGTTCAAGGCTCGTCTTCAAAATCACGTTACCCTCTTTGTCCCTTGTGAGATTCGCCGGGTTGACCTCGGGGCCGTCCGAAAACATCTCTAGTACCCCACCCGCCTGTTGCGCCTCAAGCTCAGCCGGTCGGGAACGCAGGATTTCGCACTCAGCTTCGGCGGCGGCGAGTTTCTGCTGCGCTTCGGCTTGAGAAATCTGCAGGATGTCAACAGTTGTTCTAAGATCTTCAACCTGCGCCTGCAGTCCGCGATTCTGTCTGACCCAGTGCGCATTGATACCTGCAAATAGGAACCAACGACAAGTTTAGAATGAATAACACTAAAACAGAAACATAACATCAAAGCTGGAAGAATGAAACAAGTCAAATGTTCCAAGAATACACTCACCTTCTGACCGTGTTCCGCGGACGACACCGTTTTGTTCGACGACCATCTGTTGCTGCTGCTGAGCAAGCTGCTGCTGCTGAGCAAGCTGCTGCTGCTGAGAAAGCTGCTGCTGCTGAGCAAGCTGCTGATGCTGAGCAAGCTGCTGCTGCTGAGCAAGCTGCTGCTGCTGAGCAAGCTGCTGCTGCTGAGCAAGCTGCTGCTGCTGAGCAAGCTGCTGCTGCTGCTGTTCGTCACCAGCTTCTTCCTCAGAATCCTCTTCCTCATCCTCGTCCTGCTCCTCGTCCTGCTCATCGTCCAGCTCCTCGTCCAGAACCTTGTCGAAGGCGGAGTGGTTATCCGTCAATTAATCCCCAGCCAGCGCGCCGGTGGTTGCATCGGCGAGGAACTCAAGATTGTGCTGCTGCTGTTGCTGGGTAGTAGCAACAGGCTGCTGCTGCTGCAGCTGCTGCTGGGAAACAACAGGCTGCTGCTGCTGCTGGGAAGAAACAGACGGCTGCTGCTGCTGCTGCTGCTGGGGAGCAACAGGCTGCTGCTGCTGCTGCTGGGAAGCAACAGGCTGCTGCTGCTGCTGGGAAGCAACACGCTGCTGCTGCTGCTGGGAAGCAACACGCTGCTGCTGCTGCTGGGAAGCAACAGGCTGCAGCTGCTGGGAAGCGACAGGCTGCTGCTGCTGCAGAAAAGCGACAGGCGGCTGCTGCTGCTGTTGCTGCTGCTGCTGGGGAGTTGTAAAGGGCTGCTGCTGGCGAGTCGCGGGACGAGGACGGTTCGGCAGCTCCTCTGTGACAAGCTCCTCCTCGGTACTTGCGGGAGCAGGGTCAGCTTGACTGCCTGTAGTAGCTCCTGCCTTCCTCCCCTGCTTGCCTTGCTGCCTACCGGACTTAGCGGGGCGGGATTTTTTCTTAGGTACAGGCACACCGGAGAGAGTGTGAATACACTTGGTCTTGCCGGCGTTGCTAGCAATGGCCTCACGGCGCTTGAGAGCGTGCTGGTAGAGGGCACGCTGGCTGTTGACGAGTTCGTCTGCTTCAGCTTCTGTCATTTCTGCTGCATATGGCGATGGAAGCGTGACCCCCTCCAGCTCCTCGCCAACGCCCTGAACCCTTCTGGTCAGCCCATTGCCTGCCCGGTAATTTGTTCCTTCTACTTCCCCCATCGTAAACGACGATTTTTTATCGTCTGTAAAAAAAACTGCTTCATATACCAGGTTTGATTCTACTTTGGAAGCCTCAAAACTTACACGTAAACGTTTTGACCGCCGATTGCGTTTCGGGGGTGCGATGTCAGAAAAAAAAAAAAGCGCAACAAAATTTCGGAATCCAATTATTGGTTGGCTTGTGCGAGGTCGGCTGCCCACGCCGCGAGCGGTGCGAGCATCTTGACACCTCCACGGTCCTGAGCCGTCAGATGAATATGACGGCGCATATTTTTGCAGGGATGAAGGAACGATAATATCGCACCCGTCCGTGGGAATGCTGTCAGCTCGCTATGTCGGGACCGTCAGATGATCACGACAGCAGAATGATGGCTATCGATCGATCAACACCGTCGAGAGGGAATCTTGACTAGTACAGCACAGCAGGTAATTGGAAGTTTCGAGAGTGGGGCACCACAACTCAGCACGGAAATGAACCACGGAACCAGGCAACCAGGTTCATTGCACGAGACTTAGCTACGCATACAAAGCCACGCGGCAACTGCCCGAGGGTGACACCCCTTACCCTATCCAGCACAACTGCAGCTCTATGAACGAGCTGGATTATGATGCGTTGGTTCGCCGCAGCGGGTTCCTATTGGCCACTAAAAGGTGTCTTTTGCCAGCTGTTGGCAGCCGTGACGTGGCCACGGAATGGTGTTTCCAACATAGTAATGCTATGTAATTTCCCCGGTGCTGGCGCAATGTACATTATGTAACGCACGGACAAATATCCTGGTTATATTATAATTATTAGGATTATTGCCCAGCACATTCATAATATCCGTATACTTTGGTTGCAGTTTAAGTGTGTTTCAACCTAAAAATTTTGGCAGGTAAATGATCATGTAACCTTGTGAATCGTATGTAATCCACGTACGCCTAAATGTTGGCGTTATGCGGTATCCTGTTATTCAAATGGCAGCAAATCATCCTAAAACGCGTATTGCATATTAAATATTTGATCGATCTTAAAGTGTTGTGTGGGGTATGTTTGGCACTACGTAATGTTATCCTTCAGCAGCTCTCTTTGCTCACATATTTAAAAGAGTCATAATATCCCCCGAAAGTATGGCGATTGTTAA